GACTTCAGAACTCTATAGAACTGCTGGAAAGAGAGACCTCTGTACGAACGTTCACCTTTATTTTAAACAGAAATCAATCATTTGTAAGTAATTTAAAGTATAAAAAGTATTTTCCAAAATTATTAACTTTCAGTCATTAATCGAAAAACCAAAATCGCAAGACCAAAGCATAGGTCAGCCAGGATGGTAGTGAAGGGTTTTATAAGAGCTAGTGTAAAAATTTTTCATTGGGCGTGGCACCGCACCCTTTTAGTTATCATAATAAAACTTTTTATAAATAGCGCCCTCAAGATATTCCATTTTACATTCAAAAACTGTCAAAATCGCAAAATTGTACCAAAAATGGGTAAAATCATGTAAGTATGTAAGCAATCTTAATTTTTCTAATAACAGTGTATCCTCTTTCCTTAAATGGATGAAATCGCAGCGATACTTTACTTAGTTTGATATAAAGTTTTGCCAAAACCTAACCGCTTTTGTTCCTTGCAAGTTGCAAGAGTATGAAATATTTGCTTACGCTCGAACTTAGCCCTTCCTTACATGTTCATTATACTTTTTAGTACGAATTTGAAATTCAGGGCACCGCATTGTATAAAATATTTCTGGAGAAAATCGCCCTAAAGAATTAAGGCAGACATAAAGTGACAGTAAGCAAAATAATATATAAATCAATGGTACAAACTTAAGTCAATCTGAGAAGTGAAACAAAAAAATAAAGAAGTGTACTACCAACGCTGGCATACCAGCTTAATGCCATCTACCATATAAGACTCCGTGGCACGCGCCCGGTGAATGCACTATGTAGTAAGTCGCAAGTGTCAATATACAGAAAGTTAGAGTGTGGAAAAAAAGAAATTTCAACAACCGCAATTGTAGAGATTACTAAGAACCACTACATAAAATATTAGTATGCATTGCCACACATTCCACAGGTTTTGGCTCAGCGAAACGAAGTTAGGGCAACAGAGAACTGCCTGCATTTCTGACGCCCACCTCAACGAATTCAAGCCCTCTTAAGCCCGCTGGTCTACCTTGACAACACACTTATGTATGTATGAACTCCATTCATGCTTCTCATTACTTTTTTAAGAACCACAAAATGTTGAAGACTCGACAAGATCCAAAAATAACAACAAATAACAAACAAATCGTGAACAGCTGCCAGCTGCAATCGCCAACAAGTTGCAACAGCAAGAGACAGCATGCTTCTTACTCTGCAAAACATGTTCTTATAACTACTACATAAATACATACACAAATTCATACTCATGTGATCACTTGTTGCTGAGCCGCTGGGAACTGGAAGAGCTACGTACCTTGTGGGAAAATCAATTACATGTCAGAAATTTTAAATTATTTTTTTATTGCGTTTCGGGTTGAATATTATTACGATGCCCCTCTAAAAAGCAACCATTAGAACTGTGCACGTCAGTGTGTTTTGAATACGACGGTTGCACATTTCCGATCCTATTCTTTGACTGACGTCGGATTATTCAGACTCTCCATTGTCTCCCGGACCATCATTCATTCATTATTCACTACCATTCTCTGCTTTTAACTTCTTTAAACTTGAAAAAAAATTCACTAAGGGTAACATTAAGGGTAAAAGAAAAGTCGCCAAAGCTTCCTTATAGTGTTTATAAGAATTTTTTAAACAAAATCAAAAATGTTTCTTATGTTACAGTGAATATATAGTTATTCTTGTTGTTTAGTTTTTCCTACAAGTTATTTTTATTGTTTTGCTTGTTCTACTGTTGCTAGCCCCACTTTGACCCGCCTGACTCTTATGCTGCAACATTAGCTGCAGTGTTCATTGCCATTCATTGCTGGTGTTTATTTATGCTCTTATTTTCTTTTATCATTGTACATATTTCTCCATAAATGCGGGATTAATTGTGGACAGAAACTTTAAATTTTCTTTTAGGCGAAATTAGTCCATGTGATTATATACCAGAGATAATTAATCAAGTAAAACTGTTGAACAGCAACCTCCATAATTGTTGGCACCTTCAACAGAAAGTTCAAAATATACTTACATATACGTTTTTATAGAAAACCATTTGCAGTAAAAATGTATAAAAATGGGCGTGGATTTCATGTAACTACTGTAGGACGAGGATGTTATCTACTAGCAGTGGTTTTTATTGGCGAACTTGAAGTTATTGGCTTTCACATATTTATATATAAACATGTATGAATGTATTTTAATCATCTTGATCACAATAACTTTTCAGGTTGTGTAAGTAAACCTTTTTGCTGGAATCAAAAGCGTACTTTTTTCAAAGAGAGTCAGAATAGGTTTTGAAAAACATGTAGTTTTTCCCTGCTCTCTGCTTTCCGTAGTATTGAGGCAACCGGAAATGAATAATCGGTTGTATGGGAGATGTGATATAGTTGTCCGATCTGCCCGATTCCGACAAATGATCAATAAGATCTTAAAATGCACCTATGTATTAAATTTCAAAAAAAAAATTACTCTTCACTTAAAAAATCGCTAGATCGAAGCTGTTAGAATATCTCCCGCATAGGCGATCCATTTTTTTGGAATTCGTGCAAATCAAACCGCTGTAATGTACTTGAAATTTAAGGAATTTTAATGAAGTCACTATTTTTTGTATAAAAAAACTATAATGTAGTCAGTAAGCTCTGACGTAGTTTGTGCATTAGTTTTTATAGTTAGTCAACTACCTGATCTTTGTCTTTAATGAATCAGCTTGACTAATAATTATAGTAAATATATCGTGTTTTGCTGCAAGAAAATGTGAAACTTGTCACCGTCCAAAAACTGAGTAACCTGTAATGTTTGCACTCGTACCCCTGCCTACCCCGCCAATGTCATTCGTTTTAATATTCACGCAAGTACAAGCGATAAGTGCTCCATAACGTATTATCATATCTTATCAGCGCTAATTTACTTAATTTGCAAAACATTGTATCTGCATACAATATATTTTATCTTTATTTATATAATATTTATACTGAGGTATAAGCGTTGACGGGCATTGCTAACGCTTCATATTGGTGTATGTACAAGTAAATATGTACATTAGCGTCTAGTTATGTAACATACATGTGAGTGGGCAATGAAGTAAATGCGTAAAGGAAGAGAAACCAAAGACATTTTAGTTGAATATCGTATGGAATTGTGTTCATTATGTATCATCATTCCGTTAAATGCTAAATAATTCGCTACCACCCACGTACATCTAGTGTTCATACATACAAAGATACGAAATGCCGGCAAGCAGTCTTTGGGAACAGTGTGTGTCTGATCTGGGAACACTTATTCGCTTATTTATGTGAAGACCACTAAACTTGTGCGGTATGTTCAATGGGAAAGCTTTGAAAAGCTTCGATGCAAACTTTTATGGAAGGGTGACCAGATGTCGCTGGGCTTGAAGGTTTGTCTATTTTTATGCATTTTCGCATAAAGAATATTAATTTCCATAAAAATGTATGTAAGCAAATATATTGTATATAATAAACAATACATTTTTAACATAATAACTACTATATAACCAGGGTTGCAAATAATGCATTAAAAAAATAACTGAATTAATTTTATTTTTATTTTGTATGTTTAATCCTACATACTGGATTAAAAATTTATTTTTAATTTGCTGTTAATTTTTTATCCCAACTACCGATTTAAAAAGCAATAAAAAAAATTTTAATTTCAATCCGATAATTAAGAATTAAAAATTTAAACTCTTTTAGAATTAACATTTTTTCACGTTTATCTACTTTACTCAAATTAAAAAATAAAATTTATAATTTTTAATCCAAAACATCCTAACATCAGGGCTAGAAAATTAAAATTTAATTTTTGATCCAAAATGTTCGAATTAAAATATTCGCAACCCCCTATATAACTAAGCCGGAAGTCAGCTTTCGTTAAAAGTAACTCTAAAATCGTAATGAAATTTGACCTTAAGTAAAATTCAGTAAACATTTTGAAATTTCTAGAATTTCAGGAGTTAAATTGCGTCTGAGATATTATCCATATTCATTTTTTATCGATCTCCGTACAGAATAAGGAGTTCTATACTCAAATGGCCCAATATTATGAATACTTTAAATAAAAACTTCTTCTTTCTTTCAGAGTAAAAAGAGAATAGTATATGTGGATACAGAGTGAAGAACTCATTGATAAGTTCAATAGAAATTTTAAGTTCCTGCCACTACATTTAAGATAGCTCTCAGTTCGTTCTCAGACAAATTCTATTGTGAAACAACAATTTAAGGACGAGGAGAAAATACGGAACAAATGGAGTCGTAAAATGCAATTTAGAAGTTAGTGAGATAACTAAAAACACAAGCAATAGTATTTATGTACAATTTCTGTTGCACCAAAACAGAAGGCTCAAGGCAGAGAATGTATTTATTAAGATTCTCTGCTCAAGGCGTTTTCTAAATAACATTTGGAAAGCTGTTTACGGTAGAGATTGAATTTACGATGAGGTTAATAAACTTAAAATCTATTGATTACTTGACATACACTTTTACCCATAAATCAAGACGCCTTTAAAATATCAGAAGTGAACTTTTAATTAAATCAATTTCCAAAAGAAATTATGTATGTACTATCACAAATACATATACAACATTTATTTTCTGCAATTAGCAAAATAGCAATTAATCCAATAGTTTTATTTATTTTTAACAATACACTTTCCACTTTCGATTCATGTGGAAAGCAATTGCCTTAATCCAATTTCACAAATTTCTTGCAATCACTATAAGTTGCTTTTCTTAAGTATAAGAACACTAAATTAGCTAGTAACAACAATTTATACTACTATAGTTGTAACGAACTTGACCTTCTCAACTGCAAGACGACTAGAACTTAGTGACACGGCGTATAAGAAACCACTTCCTTGCATGCGCGTGTTTCTGTGTGTGCTCATTAATCCGACTTTTGAACTGCGCATTGGCAATCGACCGCCGAAAATTGAACGCACACTAATTGGATCATTGCAACAACTTTAGGCACTCAATTGTCATGGCACACAGTTATAAAAGCCTTAGACCGCCGGGGACCATACTCATAGCAGTGCGACAAGTATAAGTGTGAAGGCGTTTTATCATTTCCAACGGTCAACCTAATAGTTGCTACGGAGCTATGGGAGCACCAAAATAAATTCTATAAAATTATTTCTTCAAAACTAACTTCTCCGAACGTCGTTCAACCAAACAGCCAATTCAGTTTTTCAGCCGCTTTTGTGTGTGTGGAATCTACCGAGCGAGTGTCTAAGCTAAGCCAAAACACACAAACTCCAAGGATTGCTGACTGCCAGGTAGAACTATGGATTTCACGAAAGCTCTAAGGCTGCCACTGCCGGCTGGCTTTCAGTATCTACGCGATGGGCGCAATATCAGTCTGGCCGATAGTGTTCCTGCTGACATTTTCCACATGGTTGATCCCTACTGGTATAAATGGCAACCGATGGAGCAGATTTGGTTTCAAATCATTGGCTTTATCATCACCGTTCTGGGTGTAATGTCGCTATCGGGCAATTTCATTGTCATGTATATATTCACCTCGACACGTTCACTACGTACACCATCAAATATTTTTGTGGTTAACTTAGCCTTTTCCGACTTTATGATGATGTTCACTATGTTTCCACCAGTGGTGTTAAATGGTTTCTACGGCACTTGGATTATGGGACCATTCCTATGTGAATTATACGGTCTGGCCGGTTCGCTTTTCGGTTGTGTGTCCATTTGGTCCATGACTTTGATCGCATATGATCGCTACTGTGTGATCGTGAGGGGTCTGTCTCGCAAACCACTCACCACGACCGTGGCTGTTGTACGCTTGATTTTTGTATGGTGTATTTGCGGCACCTGGGCCATACTGCCGATGGTCGGCTGGAATCGTTATGTACCTGAGGGTAATATGACCGCATGCGGTACGGACTACTTTGCTAAGGACTGGTTTAATCGTTCATATATCATTGTGTACTCATTATGGGTGTATGCTACGCCATTGACGACAATTATCTTTTCATATTACCACATCATGAAGGTAAGTGCGTTCTTTTCTTCTAAACTTGTTTACTATATATCAAAATCATAAGCAAGTAAACACTGTCTCTTATTTCATATCCAATTTCCTTTTTATCAAACTATTCTTACTTTTCTTCTTACTTCAAGGCTGTTTGGGCTCACGAGAAAGCTATGCGTGATCAGGCTAAGAAAATGAATGTCGCCTCATTGCGTAATAGCGAAGCAGATAAAGGCAAATCGATTGAAATTAAACTGGCTAAAGTGGCGTTGGTTACAATATCGCTGTGGTTCCTCGCCTGGACCCCATATACGATAATCAACTATGCGGGTATTTTCGGTTCGATGAATCTCTCACCGCTGAGCACAATTTGTGGTTCGGTATTTGCGAAAGCAAATTCAGTCTGCAATCCAATAGTCTATGGTCTCAGGTAAATTGCGCATTTGTGCCCAATTAAAATAATATTGCATCATTTCTTCTTTAACAAATACTTATGTAAATATCCCTATAGTCACCCTAAATATCGACAAGTATTGCGCGAGAAAATACCTTGTCTCGCCTGCGGCAAAGACGACATGGCCTCCGAAGTACGCACGCAAGCGACGGCAGAAATCAGCGAATCAGCGGCATAAGTATGTGGCCCAGCTATGGAACTGAAAGTACAATAATCATAAAAACTACAACATGCAGCAACCGGAACACGATTCTGATAACATTTATACAGTTTTAGACTTCACTCTAGGTTATGTATGCAAAAAGCTTGGCTTTACATGCTCCTAGCGTGGATTTATATTTAATGAAACAACTAGAAACAATGATACTTAGAGGGTGGATTATAAAACGTCAATCTGCAACGAGGTAACAGAAAAACGAAAAAACAAACAAAAAAAATCGAAAAACAACAAGCAACGACTTAGCAGAAGAGAGTTGTGATGCAGTAAAGTACCAAATGAAAGAAATTTAACAAATATGCAGTTTTTTTATGGCGTAAGTTTAAATATTGTATAGTTGATGTACATGCCACTTCGCTTTATCTGCTAAAAAGTACTCAAGTAATTCCTCTCTTTCACTTCAATATTTTCTTTTTTCTAACAATAATTATAGGTGTTCTGATCTTTCCGCAGTTTTCGGATTGTCAGTGTATTATACATATTTATCAAAATATTTAAAGGAACTGCAATTTAAAAACCAAAAAAAAACTACAAAAACAAATAAAACAATGCAATTGATATAAAATCAGAAAAAGAAAGAATTTTGTCTGAATAGTCAAAATAGTCACTAAATTATGTGGAGATGAAAACGTCCGACAATATTTGATAAGTCACTTAGAATTTATTATATTAGTTCGAATTTTCTAAGGTTCCCGCAGTGGAAGATGTCTTTTAACGGTAAAACTCTATGGAAAACCAGTAAGTAACATATACAAGTACAATTATGTGTAGAAATAGATTATGAACAGGACACAATATATAAATGCAGAAGAATCACAGCAGAATCTATCTACTTCCTTGACACAAAGTAACATCGATACTGAATATTTGTTAAAGGAGAACTTATAACACTAGTAAGTGTTTGTCAGTAAGAAAACATGAAGCACCAAGTTGTGCTGATAATAAATGATTTTGAAGAGGGTGCAATACAAAGCTCACTACAGTATCGCATATCTTCTTGCTAGATCTAACGATTGGACAACTTGGACTCACTGCTTATACAGTAAAAATAATTGTACCTCTGCCTTCCAAAACTTTGTACAAGACAAGTGGCCATTGAATTGAAAGCTGTCGCATCCTTACTACCGAGTATCTTGACACAAGTCTTTTCTCGGCTAGCTGGTGGTTTGGAAGGCAAATTTTGTCTTTTTTAATTGGTAAAACCTCGTTTTTGTAGCTACTCCTTATTAAGTAAACGAATAACTCTTTTATTTTTCTAGTAGTGCGAACATACATTGAAATAAAATAACTCAGCACATAAAACATCTCTTATATTCAAGCTTTTTAGAAAGCAATTGCTATTTATTCCTTATAAAAACAACATTTCAAGCAGCAGATATTTTTGAGCTGGTCTTTTCAGTCCAGCCAGAAAATATTATTCGATTTAAAAGATTTTTGAGTCTCAAAATTTAACATCGCTCACACTAGAAACCACTTCATACAACTCTGTGTGGAAAATGTATGCCCCCGTCCATCCGTCTTCGCCTGCCAGTGGCATCATAAGTCTTCTCAACTGCGTCCAAACCTTTGCCATCGGCACTATTAACTCTCCCATCGATGCCTACACCACCACTGTTATTATGCTCATCCAAGGTGTACATTGCGGCCCGACCTTGTAGAAGTATAAAGTCGATGAGACGCTTATTACTGACCGATTTCATGGCGTTGGGGTCGTTTCGCTTGCGCAAATAATTGAAACAGCAAGTGCTAAAAAAGAGGATTATTTTCCAACTCCTAATTTACTTAAATTACTTATGAATATACGAATACACTTTTTACTTACCGAAAATTCTTCGTGCCACAAGCATTCGTACACTCGTTGCCACACGAATCACAAGTCATCGAACGCTTGCTTTCGAAAAGCGCATTTGGTTCCAGTTCATAGAACGGATCCTCCATCGGTATATTTAAGTATTTAGAATACATTGCGCTAGTCGTCATTGGTTTGTGCAAATTGAAAATGAAAATGCCTGACAGGACATGTAATTCATAAGCAATTTAATTAACAATACTATAATTGTATAAGATATAGGTATATGGTATATGGCCCAGCGGCAAGGAATTTTCGTAAATACCTCAGCTCACACTCAATTACTACGGTTTTACATATAATATTACCGAGAATTTTATTTTGGGAACATAATTTAAAGCTGAATTTTAAGTTTTTAACAAAACCCAGCATTTACTCTGTAAGTATTCCCAAATCTGGAGATGTTGATTAATATCAACGAAAGAGTCATTTCTTACAAAGCTTAATCAAATGGGAAAATGAGAGGAGTTAATTTTGAGAAGTACTACTTATTTTGTCAATAATTTAAGTCTTATTATCTAAAATATGACTAAATTCTTAAACTGATTTGTTTCCATTTTTAGATTGGAAAGCATCATTTCCATGTTTGCAATTGTCCATGAATTTACTTACACTGAACTCTCTCTCATCAACTCCGAACCCTCCCTCTCTTTGTAATTCAGTTGATGAATTTGCGGGGTGTAACTTTAAAATTATGTATTCTTCTTAACACATTTTTTAGTAGTAAATTAATGATGCAACTTGGCAGGGAAATAACGTATACTGTTTTACTTACGCTCACTGCATTACTTACACAAGAAAATTATAAAAGAGTGTAATTTATAATGCATTTCCACTCTGATCTATTGTCAAATGCACTCATAGAAACACTGGTCAAATGTTACAATTTTGGAACAAAATTTCAAACAAAAATATTCAATCCTTAAATCACAGCACCTTCTTAGTGAATATTACTACCGTTATCACGCAATGGCGACGACTAAAAGAATGTTGACTAAAACTCACCAACTTATATATCCAACTGGCCAACAGATGAAGAGCAACAAACAAATATGTAAATATGTTTTAAGGATAATAAAAAAAAAATTAACACAAAATCCTCAATAAAGCGGATAGAAGGAACACTTGACAGTTTCCAATTCAAAAGCTCAACGATGCGTAGAAGTTGTGTATTACATTAAACCAAAGACACTGTTAACTCGTTGCAAATTTCAAACTACAAAATTTACCTGCATAGAATACATAATCGCTCTACAATATGGTACCTAGAATAATACCCAGAAATGTGACAGAAGACGTCATGCCATTTATGCAACCAACGTCCGGGCAAATGTGTCGGTGTGTGTCTATATAAAAGTGTCCTTTGCCCTGGATATCAGTCTCAAATGTGGAAAATCTGTTAGCTGCATAATAAGATGAATTTAAAGAGCCTTATTAGAGCGGGTGAAAACTGAAAACTATAATGTAAAATAGAAAACGGCGAGCACTTGTGTTAATGTGTTAAATGATCAGATTTAGTTTATACAGATTTCAAGATTATGTACTTGAATAAAATCTTTAAAACTACCATATGGACAAAAACATATTATTCTGTAAAGGTATTTGGTATTCTAGAAGTTTATATGGAGATCTTACTCTTTCCTTAAAATTTAGTTAGACTCAATTTAACAAGGCAGGAAAATTTACATGTTACCATAGTTGGTTATAGGTCGCTATAAATGTTTTTTAAAACGGTACGAACTTGTCGGCTCATCTGTTATATCAAACAAAGAATCTGGCTTTTATAAGTGAAATCGTTCCGCACTCAATCTCTTCCCGTAATAAAACGCAGTTATTATCCTTCCTATACATATAAATATATGTTGTACCTGTAATATTTATTGTATGTATGTATGTATGTAAATATGTTTGAAAAACAAGTTTGTAAAATATTAGAGTCTAATGCTTAGAAAACAACAACACACACGTTACAAATTTAATTCTAATAATGTAATCATACTGCTAGCATTGTAATTGAAAATACATAAGAAAGCAAAATGAAGAGAGTGAGAGAGTAATGTTTAAGGTAAATATAAGGACGCCTTTCTTCTATACTCAGTATAATAATATGTATATGAATATTTATATATAATTACTTTACTGAATGAACCGTTATTCACGTTAATATCTCTATTATATATATGTATATGATTATTTAAAATATTTTAAGTGTGCCAGAATAAGAACTAAATTAATAAAATGAAAGCAATCAAAAGCAATAAAACCGATGCGCAAAAATACAAATATTTATAACTTCATAGGTAGTATATATATATATCTATATATATATATATATATATATATGTATGTGAGTAATTATGTAAATATGTATATTATAAAAAGACATAAGAGGTAGCTGATAGATGCAAGCAGGGAAATATGTCGATATGTGTAATATTTAATGAGCAATTCATAGTAATAGAGCTATAATTCGAAGTAGTCGCTTTGAGCTCGTCAACCTTAGTGTGGATAATAGTGTCCATGATCAGCGAGTGGATAACTGGCGTAAGCAGTACTGTGTGCCAAAGCTGGATAAGCTGCACCGTAATGGGGTCCAGGAGGTGCGGCAGGTAATGGAACGGGTGCGGGTGCCGATAGTGGAGCTGGACCATGCGCTAATGGAGCCAGTGATAAGGGATAGGAAAGTGCCGGTGCCTTAACAGGCACTGCCGGCCCAATTGGTGCAGGTGGAATGGGTGCTGTCTTATATGCAATAGGTTCTTTGCGAACTACAGCATTGAAACCGTTATGCGGATCAGCGGTGTAATCAACTGTACGTTTTGTGCCATCCGGATCAACCACCGAATAGCTGCCCTTGACCACGTCGCCATGACGTGTTTCATGTTGGCTCTTCAAATCGCCAGTGTAACCATCTTGAATGTCATAGCCGAAGGAGTATTTCGGTGCAGGGTCGTATGGCTCGGGAGCAGCAGGTTTTGGTACTAAAGAGAAGTAAATAATCATGGAAAATCTAGATAATAATACACAACTAAATAGATGGCTTCTGAAACAGAAAATTTAACTCACCCGTCGCTGCATATGGCACAGGAAGTGCAGCTCCTCCATGTGGAACAGCATAGGCCGCATAGTGCAATGGTCCCGGGCCATCAAGACCATGTGGTCCATAATGACCTGCATAAGGACTAATAACTCCGCATTCGGATAATGCAAATACAGTTGTCATAAAGAGTATCTACAAATAATGCAATTAGAAAGGTATATAATTGGATCACTTAAATTCATACAATTTAAAAGGATGCTAACTTTAACTCGAAAATTGTATGTTTTTTAATGTGATATGTTATTGACAATGACAGTATTTTCATCACGATGAGAAAACGGTGAAATAAATAACAAACAAAGCCATTCGTGTGTTTTTGGACATAAATATAGTCTCATTTCAATATTATTTCTGACTGAAGATTTATCTTTTCTCCTCGGCAGTTTCTTTTAAAAACCAGAACTGCCACACGTGTCCTCAGAAGTTATCGCTTGGTGCCTATTTTGGAGTGTTGACTCCTCAAAACAGGACTCAAGTTATCAGGAAGCTTTACAAGAAGAAGCTTCAGCAGGATCACACGCCACACCATGGAATATTCGATACTTTGTTCGACAAGCTCTATGATCGTTTATTAACCGACTCGACCACCACTATACCTGTACCTGTGACTTTATGCTGTTTTTAAAATCAAAAGCCAAGAATACTCTTTGGACAGATATTCCGATTAAACAACTGATTAGAGCGATAAAGTGTCATTAGTGATATAAGGAGTATACGAGTATTATTGGTTTAATAAGCTATCGCTATCGCATCTTTATTAATATTGAGCTATACATTTGGGTAAACGACCAGACTGTAAGTGGCTTTTAATTCAGTTAAAACTGAAAACATATGGTTGTAGTAGAAGCCATACGTAGCAAAAGCGCGGCTGTTGTTTAGCTTAGTTCTTTGTCTTTCTCATATCGCGGGGTTATGCTACAGTACTACAGTTTTGAAATATCGTATATATATAATATATACCTTCCACACAAGCCCTATTAATTAGTTATTTGGTTGGCATAGATATTTGTCCTAGGTTTCACATTTGGAAATCGCTACTTGTCAGCGAAAAGCCAAGTAATAAATATATTCCACCATAAGAATTAAGGAGTGAGATTAATTAAACATTAACATTGTACACCAGGGCAAAAGTGTGAGGATATTTATGTTATGGTTATTAAGGACTCTTTGAGCCTTTGAGCTCTGATGGATATTTTTTTTAAAAACATATAAAGGTATAATCCTTATTATTAACAGAGCGCACAAAAAGTCAACACAACACACATGATCACATTTATGCACGGGTGTCTTCAGATTCTCTGGCTACTTTTTAGAATAGTATTTTTACTATATTTGAATAAATAAATTTTTCATTAGGCACACCTTTAACATCAACATCCTGCTACCACTTTTTTATTGAGTCCTTATATGCGAGTCCTTTCCAAAGTCGTTGGTAAAACGCGCTCAAGACGCGTGAAACTAATTAGATACTTTAACGTCCAGGACGTGAAAATTTGCATACACAACTGTTTTATCGATTATTTCAAAGATATACTTTATCAATTACACATGTCCAACCGAACCGAACGACAGTTAGTGTTGAACCCGAACAACCGAAGCGGCAAACGGATGCGCTGCTTGAAATTCAATAACTGTGAAGCGAGGCAAATAGTTCTTGACTTTTATATTGCAAGTGCCGCTGCTCATATTAAAGGTTTCTGAGTGCGGGTGCAGTGGCGGTGGCAGAGAAGCGACAGATATCAGTGAGCGCAACAGTATAACCAACAAAAACGACAACACGAATGTTTGCAAAAAAGCAGTTATAGCAACAATAGCATTGACAATGGCAACAACAATAACAACGTGTTTAGTAGTGTGTTATGCAGCATCCGACTTCTTCGACTTGGGACGGTTCAAGCGGCTCGCCACGATCACTGCCAGCAACCGAAGATTGAACCGGCAGATCAGTGGGGACTATACAATTTTCGCACACAAATATAATATACGGGTATATAATTGTACGTATGTAATACATACAAATGTATTGAATACAGCAATAAAGTTGGGTTAGCCAGCAGCAAAGTTAAATTGTCCAATACTAACAATGCGCTAATTTAATGCGGCAGCTTTTGGAAAAGTGGAAAATAATTGGAAAAGCGCAGTCACAGCCAAAGCAAGTTGAATATAAATATAAAATACATACATAAAGATTTTTTTGCTCGTTTGTGAGGTGCGGCTAAGGGACACATACATTGAAGACACTAAAATAAGAAGCAAAAACAACCGAAAAATACACTTGGGGAGCTGGAAAATCCCACAATCGATTTAGGCAAATTTTGCGCATGCATCATGTCCAACAACAACAACAGCAATGGCAACAACACTGGTGATGTAAATCGAATCAGCAAAAGCTATGTAAGCCTCACACCACGACCTGCTCCGGGGCGCGATGTCAGTTGGTTAGTGGCAATGCTCCGCCGCATCTGGCGTGGCAAAGCGAATCGCCAGACACGGCAAATTCTCTAGCGCCTGCGCACCCACCCACACCTTAGCACTTAAAGCGTCAGCATACAAGCAATTCGGTCCTCTGACGACATGTTGAGCCCATATCTCATTTTTTTCATGTTTTTATTGAGCTCTGACGGTGTTTATAGCGTTTCGTTCATTTTTTTTTATGTGTTTTGTACTTTTTACATTTTGCAGAGGTTGCTCTTCCGCGAACCTAGTTAAAGGGTTCCCAGCTGTTGCCGCAATGTCCGATTACGGGATATCATTTTGCATCTGCCAACGTTTGCGTAGCACTTCTATTGTTGTTTTGTTTTTTGGTTTTTGTGCGAATTTAACTTTGCAAATGTTATTTTTCTTATATCTGGGTGATTACATTCAATAATGTGTACAACCCAAAACTGTTCAGCTCAACAAATATTGTCAAATACGGATTTACTAAGTAAAAGTATGCAGCCGACCTTTATATACTCTCAATTTGCAAGAATCAAGAGCATAAAATACTTCTAGCTCACAGCGAATCTTTATAATAATTTTATTAAGATGACTCTGTCATTCGCCAATATATTTGGCATACAATCCGCTAGAATAACGGAACTTCATGGACCGATATCGCCCGTTTTCGTACATCGAAAATAATAGGCACTTTGGGCTTTGTATTCGGTATCTATGTAAACGTTCGGGAAATCATAATGCGATTTCATACGTTTTAGATGATATATCATTGATATTTATGATGTCAGATGAAAAATAGGCGATGTTGTTGTGCGAATTCAGTTTCAAACTATAACATAAGGACATCAAAGGAATGTTATATATAAAAGTTCTGGTCTAAATTGGCCGCGAAGTTACTGAGATATGGGACTCTATGGGATTTTCCAATTTTTATACCTATTTACATCTTTACTGTGCCAACCTATTCAAGTACGGGCAATCACAACTGCCGCGTAAGTAATATTCCTAGGCAGACATTGCCAAATTTAAAACTCGAAAAGCTTTTCATTGATTCAAAACACTTACTCACAGATAACTATGGCTTATAGTACATTTAATGGAGTATAAGCATCAGATGCATCTTATCGAAATAAAAGCTTATACATACTTGAGCTTTTTTAATAACAACAGTGGTATATTGTAGGAATATTTTAAAATCCTCTGGGAGTGACATAACCATATAATTTTTATTTTCCAGTCATAATTAAATCAAAATACCTGCTGTAACCCATTCTCAATTTGTATATAAATATGGGCATACTTTTGTGTTGAAAGAAGCATGCTAACTCGCAAAATAATGGATATTTACTGCAAAGGTTCCAGTTCAAGCAACGGCAATTCGTCGGCGGTTTGTGCCACATAAATTTAAAACAAAATTTATTGCGTTTTATGACCAAAAATCGATGTTACAACGTTGCAATCGCGAAGCTGATGTGAACACGTGGTAGCATTTCTGTCCAAGCATAATTCAATGCTCAAACGAAAGAAAGAAAAACATCAAACGAGTATGCAGAATTGAAGCGACAACAACAATATGTATAACCAATAGCAACGAATCAGTAAACAACAAACAAGAAAGAAAATGCACTTCAAGAACATGCTAAAACAAAAAAACAAGCTAAATGCAACGATAATACAGTAATAAAATAAAGTTATACTAAAGTATTTACCACACACATTTACACACATATATTTACAAATGTTGCATGGATGCTTAACATGCAAATAAATTGGCTCCACAACAAGATCACAACAATGTAAAATTTCAAAACAAAACAAAAACGCTACAACACTAAATACTTATTACACTTGTGCATGCATGCTGTGCAGAGGCATTAAAAGTACTTGAAAATCAGCGACTCATAGCTGCGGCATCTAAAGAGTGAGGAAACATGAAGGCAATATTTTTTGTTATGGTTAATACATTTAGTTGTGGTGACGTTTCGCTGCTAGCCTATTGCACCAATAACATCGATCACGGAGGCGCTACAAGTAACAGTTAATGCGGATGGTTGCGAGTATCGGTTTAATATGTATGTATAAACACACTTTGTGTCAGTGTTAGCGTATACTTGTATGTTCGTCTATTATCACAATAATGGCAATAATCAAGGCACTGGGCTTCATTTATTCAAAAGCAATTGGATAAAAAGGCAGCACAGAGCAAAAAGGTCAAAATGAATTTGAAATCAGAATCGCGATACGACCGGTTGCAGAGCCGCATCGAGCTGAACTGCGCTGTCTACGCTGCGCAGTGCATTGCGTTGACACTTTGAACTGATCCACGAACACCGCGGCAATGCAGCGGCGCTTGCACCTTCTCGAGCTCCACGGCGGATCAGTAACACTCCTCAAAAGCTGACAAGCACAAGTGCCGACTGAGAAAGGCGCAAGCATGGTAGATGAGGCTGAAGAGAAAAAAAAATTAAAAACCTGTTGTAGCCGGCACTGGCATTGTCGGATGCCAACGTTGAATTCGCAGGCAAGCACTGCCGCAACTCATATGGCTCGTGGTGGGAGCTTCTTTTAAAGGCCAACTTCGCTAAATTCGCACTCAGAGAATAGCCAAGTGTGCAACATGCCCATACGACCGTCGTCTATGTATATCGATATGTTAGTGTGTGTGTGGAGTCAGCTATATCAAATACACGTGAGTCTCTGTTAACCGTCAGTTCTACAGCACATTAGTGCCTTCATTTGTTTTGAAAGTATTACCTAATGCCTTGCAGACTCATCGCATCATTTTACAATGCAAATTATTTATTTTCGTGTTTTTTATGCATTGCAGCTTCACTTTTCGGCAGTTTAATTTATTAGCAGTGATTTCTTTGGGAAAATTATATAAAATGTTTTGCTTTCAATTGTCGAAGACGTTCATGTGTAGGGTTGCCATAGTATACAAATTTATAACGCATTAATGCTTTTTACTGAGTTGATTGACGATGCTAGTCGTTAGTAACGCTAGTGATTTTGTTGGTCCAAAAACGCTTGGCGTATATATATATATAATCCGAAACTGCAAAAAAATATTACGACTAAGAGAAGAGATGACTATATTCATATCTTTATATAGCATTTACTTAGTGTAAAATTTAGTGGATATTTAAACACTAAAATATGGAGCGCTTAAAGCACGAAAAACGAGTTTTAATTGTGTCTAGATTATGTTATGATGCGGTAAAGTATAAATTCTCTGAGATTTGCACTTCATTTGTGGTTGTTTTAGTGTAAGTTGCAAATAATAATAATAATTTTATTTGTGGGACATTTCCAAATTACTTTAATATTTATCCGTTTGATCGGTTCTTGTATTACTCAAATATAACGCAATATATAATCCTAAATACATATGTATATTCTACAGGCGGCAACACTACCCACAAACATCTTGTCCGCTTATAACCAGAAATTGCAAGACGTTGGTAATGAATGCTTTACATAAGTGTTACCAGCAAATAATCACCATTAGCCGCATTCTCATATGTCCGACGAAAATAGGCAAATGGAGTCTGCATATTCACGTTAGAATGTTTTAAGCAACGTGATCGTATATTCCATATATTGGGAACTGATCTATATACATACATATCAAGAGTACATTTCCTAAAATATTTTATGCCAGCTTTTCCCTTAAATATCATCATTTTCCCGCATTGAATCCCTTAAATAAATATTAAAGATTATTAACAAAGAAAAAAACTAAATATTTAGTATATACGCGACTAGCATACTGCGATTATCAACTTGGTGGTGGTGGTATTTCTGCATTTTTGTTTTCTTACATTATAAAATTTTTCGACAAACAATCATATCTGTCAAACTTATTTTTTTCAATATTTAAAATTTTAAAATTTATTTTGCAAACAGATATGATGATATGTATATATTTAATAATAATAAATATTAATAATAAAAAGTATCCTATGTTCATTCTGACACCTCCAAGAGTATGTGTACCAAGTTTCATGATGATCGGTTAAGTAGTTTTGGCTTGAAAGCGTAACAAACAAGCGGACTTTCGCTTTTATAATATTAGGAGGGATTTTAAAAATGTATCGTTATAGTTAAGAAAATATAAATAGATGTACTCGTAATAAAAAAAAATGTGTGGGGTTACGTTGTTTGTGTAGTGAGAAAATTGTTTAAAATATCACGTGGATACCAATAAGTATGTATGGTATGTATGTGTGTAAGGTACTTACTTCTTGCTGTTCGGAGAAAAATAATAGAACTATAGAACTTTTAATATTAATGCTTTTTATTAGTAAATACGCTAACGCTTAATATTACTTTAACACTTAGGAACTACATAGTTACAGAACAATTAGTTTGTCTTAAAAATATGCCGCCGTGTTATCTCGTATATTCTGCGAGCCTGCGTTCGCTGCCAAGACATCAACGGATTGTGTACGTTTCTCCAGGAAACTGAAATTATACCAACGCTCGTTTTTGCCGAAGTTTTCTCCATCTTCCAGAGAAGTAGGTAAGGTTCTATAATAAAGAGCATCGTATTTAAATAAATCTGCCGTAAATGTAACAATTTCAACGTTTTGATTGGAGAGTTTGCTAGAATTAAGTTCCAAGACCTTTTTCATTGTGGAGTTGGAGAAGTTTTACTTCTTCTCAAAAAATAATACCAACGCTACTGAACCGAAATGAAGAGATTGCACTAAAAAAACTGAGTCTCGGAGAAAGGATAAAGACAAGAAACAATTTTACCTTTCTGCATCTTTTGGTCAAACTCACTGTTTCAAGTATTTTTTAAAACTTTATTGTCTTTTAAATAGAGGCGGTAGAGTTTCAAATATCGATCAAAATATTTTTCAGATCAAATACAGAAAAGCACTAATTTAGGATGAAACTTAAAACAAGGAAAAAGAAAGCTTCATCGGGAACTTAAGCTCTTCTCGTAGACTGTTGTGCGTTTAAGAATTTTCACAGAGAGTGAACCAATGCTGATCGAGGGTCAATAAGTAGAAATTAGAGTCCTGACATTCTTAAGAAAACCACACACGATTTAGCACAGAAAACTGCCTTCAATATTTTCTAGCTTAAGATATCGTTTTATTAAATATTACTTCACTCACCTGTTGAGCGTCTCAGGCAACAGTAAACACAATCCAGCTCCCAACAGCGAAAGTAAACCCAAAATTATTTCCGGCATGGGTTGAAAGAACGAACGTGTATACAGAATGTATGAACTGAAGAAGGTGAATGCATAACCCATGACATGCACCACCGCTATACCTTGGCCGCGCACACAAGTTGGTATCAGCTCAGTTGCATATTGCGCACCAGAATTGTAAGCAACCGTTACTCCAAATCGTCCTATAACCGACAAAATCACGACCAATATGACATCTACAAAAGTATGCAAATCATTTATTAGTAAATTGTGATATATTTCATTTTGGTGCTCACCCTTCTCGCCGCCACTACGTTCAGTACAGAAGAGTATTGCACCGGTGACCGATATAAAAATACCACTTAGCAGCAGTGACATGGACGCCATCGCTTTGCGGCCGATGCGATCTTGCAATACGATCAACAGTATGCAGGCCGGTAATATAGCCGTGGCGCTCAAAGTGAACATGAAAAATGGCGATATGCCGAGACCTTGAACATTCCGCGACACCGCGTCGTAACACAGAGTGATGACCATGCTGCGATAGTCACATACACGCAAACATAAATACATTGAAAGTTAATCAATACTTCGCCATAATAGGTAATTGTGTAACACTTACGACTTAAAAAACAGGATAAGCGTATTGCGTCGCAAACGTGGCGTTGCAAATAGCCCGAAAAGATTCGGACCAGATTTTGTATGCAATTGTCTGCGTTTGCATTCATCTATGAATTCGGTATAGACGGATTCCTCCACTGCACGTCCATTGATCTTCGCCACTCGCTTCAAACATTCAACGGCTTTGTCGTATTTTTGCTTGGAGATCAACCATTGCACACTCTCGGGCACAATGAAGTAGAATAACGGCACAATAGCAAAGGGAGTCGAGGTAGCGATAAGGAAACCACGCCACGTATGCAGCAAAATTGCAATCCACGGAGCAGCCATTGAACCGAGGCAGTAGAAGCAACCAATGCAGATGCTCAGACCAACAGTGCGTAGTGAAGGACGCAAGTACTCCATAACTGTGGAAAATATTTAAGATTTAATTGAATAGGAAATGATTTGAAATATCTTCCTATCTTAAGAAGGAAATTCTACCAAATACTACACTTGAACCGTCATAAATGCTGCTGATTTCACAAATACCTACCATCGATATTAATGAGTATATTTTTGTGATGACAACTCTTTTTAAAAATATCTCCGTCTTCCTTTAGACTGTTATGTGTTTATTTTGTTGTATTTCATTTATATTATAAATTAAACTTTAAAAAATTCACAGTTGGCAACCCTCCTAATAATATTTTCACCCATAAATCATCTTGAACTTCTATATATCAACATCCTATTGTAGTAATTTCAATCATATAATTTTTATTATTTTTTGGATTGTCCAACCGATCGTATTCCCAAATTTTTTTTTTTTTGTAGAGTTGTAATCGGTTGAAGCTCTCTATTTTACTACAGTATCTAAAAACGCTTAATTTAAATAAATTATTTCTTAGTCTCAAACTTCCTCGAAGTTACTCAAACCACTGTTTCCGAGAAATTGCCGTAGTCAACAAGCCGAGTAAGTTTTTTTTTATATAGAGGTCCCTATTTTATAAACACGTTAGCAGCAATGTAAAAATTATGTAGTCAGCTTAAGAGATTGACAACTCACAGCAGTTATAAGAACTGTGCGCTTACTGGTCCTCTTTAATCACTCACCTAAAATATACATCATAACGAAGTTACTATCCGTCGCCATACCGGACAGAAAGCGAAAAAGCGAAAAAGTTGGAAGCGTTGTACCGAAAATGGTCAAGAAATTACCAACCATTGCCACAACATTGGCGGCAATCAAAATGGGAAGTCGGCCTGCCATGAAGAATACAAAAAACAATTGTAGAATGCAACACTAAGCGCGATAAACTGTTGAATCACCCAAACTATCTGCTAAAAAGCCAAAAAGTAAGCTGCCCACCACTGACCCAACAAAAAACATCGATTGTCCTAATGTTGCCTTCCAAGCGCGATCACAAATCCAACTTAGCTCGCTAGTAAAGCTTTGGTAGCCCATATATAGCTCATATTCGAATTGCTGACACGTGTGCGACACATTTGCGGTGACATTCGGCAACGCTGCTTCATCACCATCTGTAAACCGATGTGGCAGACATGATGAGCCTGTCTGCTCGCTGGCAACCGCATAAGCGTCCACCGTGCTCGCATAACCGTCGATACACCTGTCGATGAAATTAATTGAGCAACGACAAAAGCATTGGCTTAACGTACGCTTGACTCACCAGTATTTTGGCACGAAACTTATGATCGTCTGTGAGTAGTAGTGCAGTGCGGAAAGCAAATTGATAATGCAGAATAGCAGTAGCATGATCGCCTGCAAGCGATTACAGTCACCACATTTCTCCAAGATTTTATCGAGTTCCAACATTTCTACTGAGGGCAATTACCGTTAGATAATTCTGACACTGCTTCAGCAGTGCGTTTGTATGCTCACAGCTTCGCAGCTGTCACTCCGTTAGCTCTCAGCTGTTATCAAACCAAATAGTCTTCGATGTCAATTAACTTGTGGTTGCGCAAGATGTTCGGCAACTGTTGCGCTTATCAATCAAACAGAATAACAGATAGCCGAGTGCACTATAGAATTAATGTAATTATAAATTAATGTTTGTAAATTGTAAGTGTTCAATTGCCGAATTTATTATTATGAGTTCAAAGAACTCTTAATGGCATAAAACACATTGTTTATTCTCGCAGGCATGCTTATATAATTAAATATGTTAAAATTTTGTTTTCATATGTTATCAATTAAAATACTCTCACGTCAAGGTCAGCAAACAGCAACATCGGATGGACCGATTTCAATGAAATTTTTCAGAGGAGCTTCAGGTTGGCCAGCGAGTGATTTTGTAAGGTTTGATGGCGATCGGAAATTAAAAAAAAACGGTATTTTTGAATGTCAATGACATTTTCTTTTACTGCTAATATATTATTGTTTTTATTACGCAATTCTGTTGACATGTGCGTCGTGTATATGTATGTTATTTAATTAAACAAATTTTGAGTATAATGAAGTATAATTAATGATATTAAAGTATGAACAATATGACCATGTAATTTAACTAAAATTATCGCGAAGAGTGAGCCATTACTAACAGATGAACAAAATAATATTTACAATCGGATATTGTACACGGGGAAAAAATAATTAATTGGCAGTATTTTCACAGACAAACAAAATATAATAAGTACTTAAATCAAAACTGGCTGCGTCATCGGGCTATATTGACAGCAAAAAATGCCGAAATTAATTTCGATAATAATATTTTTACTATATTAAACAGCCTACTCAAATATAATTTAACTATACCTTAGCCACAGCGAGGTGTGACCTGGGTCCTCTAGTATACATACAAAAAAGAAAACAATGAAAAACGAAAATTTTCAACTTTAAAAACCAATACGTAATATAAATATCAGTCACTAATAGATTGGTTTTCAAATTAAAGCTTTTGTAATTGCGGCAAACCCGTTTATATGCTTTGAGCCGTCACTGAATGAAGAAACAAACCCCAACATTGGCACCCAGTCGGATAATATATTTTATGTATCGCAAAATATTTATATATTATAATAATATGCATAATATATTTTGTAAGCCGCAAAATGAAATCCTTAATCGGCATTTTCCCAATATGTTTACTGTGTTTATTTCGTAAACCGAAATGTTTTATGAGTGGGCTCTCGAAGTTTCAGCCCATAAACACCACCAATCACCAATTCGCACTTTTCATAATAACAAAGTGTTATAACTTTTGAGGTAGGTTTTAAAAATGTTAATGCATACTTACATACATATACTTAAATATGCTTACATGCAACTGAAGAAAAAACAGACATTTTAATTTTAAATACACTTGTTTACTATATTACAGTTATTATCGGAAACAACAAAATTTGCGCAATTTGTGTAAGTACGTAGGTAAAAACTACAAAAGTTCGGAGTTAACTTAAATAAATACTTTTTTGTTATTCATTTTAATTTTTGGTAAAATATATTTGTAAACATGACGATCCCTAAATAGAAAGAAATTTTCTTTCATACGCATATAACATATAATATATAAACATCACGAACAAGTGCTTCGTGAAATTACGAAAAAAAAATTCCTTTATACAAAAAAAAAGTGTGGAAAATAGCCTCTCATTGTCATCTTCCTCCATCCTCCCGAGAAAGGCATAACTTAATATTAAAACAAATTCGTGAATGGCGCCATTTAAATATTCACCCATAACATTTAAACGTATGTTTTTTTTTGTTAGTTTATAACTGGCAGCACAGTCCATAGCGTGTCCAATTAAATATTTCCATAAACAAGAAGTATTGTTTAAGGGAAGTTAAAGGTTGAAATGAAATATCCATTTTTCCAAGTATTAAAATCATCCCATTAGTAAATTAATCTGTGCACTATCATATATCGCGTTTTCAAAATTATGCACATTCGCCCTGTATTTCACTCACACTATTTACGCAGCTAAAACGAACACAGATTTCGTCATACAATGCACTTATATCTCATAGTTTTCACTGTCCAATTAAAGAAGTGTTTAATTGCAGTAATTAATATTAATTAGTAAAATAATATAATTCTCCACTGTATTCATGCACGGATCAGTATTTCTGTATATTTAGTATTTTATTTTAAGATCAGGATCACTTAAATCCACTACGCATACACCGTTACATGTACGACCGCGAGTAACCACCGGAGCTCAACGAAGGCAACGCTGAACTGTGAGCTAGCTACACATCCCATCAGATTGTAGATATTTGCATCGTTTTTCCCGCATACGCACGTCACACACACAAACAAACACACACACACCACTACCACGAAACAAAATCAACAAAAAAGTAGGAAACTTTCAGAACGACGAAGAAAATGTAGCACAAGTGTAGAATTATAGGTGAAAACCATATTTTCATGGGCGCAACCACTGGCAAATCGTCGTTTCGGAGCGAAGCGTGCGGAGAACAATCTGCATTGGCCAGTGCCGCGCGCGGGTAAACAAAACATCTGCGGCTCGGAATTTCCGTAATCAGTGCACAAGTGTAATAGCAAGCGTTTAAAAACAAGAAAAATATAATCACAACTATAAAGGAGATTTCAGATGTCACACGTGAATTCGACGACAATACAATTGGTTGTGTTTTTGTTGTACAATTTATTTCAATTGTGTTAGTCGAAAATGCAACTACTCCATTATTTAACATGATCGGCCACCTATAAAATATGAAAATGTGAAATGAAAGTAGTGGGTGGGATTTCATCGAAATTCCTCAACCTTTTCCTCCTAAGGGCGCAGAGCACTGCAGTTGGCACGCTATCACATTTGCCGCCTGCATCTACGAACATACACACACGAATATAAATTCGCGTGTACGTGAATATAATTTATAAAATTATCAATCTCGGAAGTACAGTGAATTTGGCGCGCCAAATTATATATGTATGTATGAATGAGAGTGTATGTAACAATCTATTCTTATTTGTTTGTGATTTCGACTAACATTCTCCACTTTTATTATTCTTTTTTATCTTAAATTTATATTCATCATATATTGTTTGCTATTAAAATGTCTTCGCTGAGCCGCACGATTGCATGCCTTTGACAATTATCATTGTTTACATTATAATTTCGCTGTTTTTTACGTCAGAAATGAGTGTTTGCGAATTAAATACTTATATTGTATATACACACATATGAATATGTGCAACCGTTATTCGATTAATAAATTATTGACGTCACATTAGCAGATATTTATCAAAATTTACATTAGCATCCTAGGCCTAAGGCGTGTTCGTATACAGTTGGGACATCATGAGTATGCCAAACTAATTTATTCCCTTTAATGACAATGCAACCTTTAATGTAATACCTAATTCGTAGTTTTCTTAAATTTCGTTCATCCACATTGTGTTACTTTGATAATCTTAATAGAAAACTTAAAATAAAAGGATCCATCCTTATACTTTTATCGGCAATAATTAATAGGTGCCCAGCTGGCTGGTTGTCGTCGTAAGACTGTTGGCTAATCTATTGATACATTCAGACAAAAGTATTATAATCTTCGCAGTTAGCAACTGAAGCTATCTTGAAGCTGATTGTGCAATTAATCTAAAACATTTTTTTTCCTTATTTTCGATATAACGTGCAGATTTATTTGACTGCCATTAGAAGGGGAATGAGTAATTCGTGTCAGACTGTTTTTATTTTGTTTAATGAAGCCACTATAAAATCAATGAAAATCTTAAATGTGTCGATATCGATAGCATGTGTATCGAGACTTTGTCACCACTATCGCTTACGACACTTACAACAATTTTAAAAAATTGCATCATCGATAATAAATTAGTTTAATTTTCGTATAATTTAACTAATAAAAAATTAACCTTGTTGCACAATTGAAATCACATAAATTTTAGATACAATATATTGAGAATGAGCATTATTTTAATTGCTGTGAAGAGCTTTAGAGCAGTAGGAAGATGTGAGTTGAACTACGATATAAATATTATGAATTAACTTTAAATTTCCTCGTTTGCTGTTTAATAATAAAAATCCGGAACTGTTAGGGAAAAAAATTAAATGAGTTAGAATGCCTTAGTTTTTTCTTGGGCCACTGGAAATCCTATATCTTATGAACTAATTTGACTATGAAGGTTTATTCCAACTACAATACAAAAAAATAATTATAAAATGTATTTTACGGAGTTTAAATTACGGGTATTGCACAATTGCGTGTTTCCGTGCTTGGTGTCACAATAATTGATTGATATACAAATCTTTCCGTTTGCCTACAAATTCAAATTGTTGAGACTACATTTTCTATAACTGTCACCTGCTTGAATTCATGTAAGTAAATGCAGTAGCAGAGAAATAACCTTCTAAATGCTATATTAGCTGGGTCTTATTTTCTGGCCTATAATTTAGCCTCAAGCAATCTAGCTTCTCGTGCGAATATGAAACATATATCGTCAAACTCATCATCATATAAACACTCCCACCTCTAAATGTGATGACATTTAGTAAGACAAGCTGTATATAATGTATAGACAACCATATACTCGTAGATCGGGTAAATTATATATTCACTAATTACATGTTCAACGAATATGCACTAATCTATAAGTAACAATATTCACAAGCACGAAATTTTCACTAATAATCTATAAGAATTTGATAAATATACAATATTATAAAAAATTGGGCGTTGTTTTACTAGGTTAGGTTAGGTTAGGAGGTCGATCCCAAAAAGGATCCCACTTGGACAGCTTAAAACGCCGGTCCGTTGTGATACCTACAAAACTCCTATAATCTGGATCAAAAGACCCTTACAAGTCGACGAAACGCTTTATGCTTACTACAAACTTGTTAAGACAGCCAAGATCCATTTCGGCTAAGTATTCAGGTCCATCAAAAGTGTGATTGCCGAGATATTTCAATCTCAGCCTAGCGAAAGCCGGACATTGGGTGAGAAAGTGCCGGGATGATTCCACCTCGCCCTCCTCCATGCAACATGACAGTGTCCAGTGAGAACTCCTACCATAGCGGTGAGATGCACTTTGCTCAGGGCGTAAATCAACAAGCTTTTTGTTACAAAATACTGGCACAAAATTGCGTTGATTCTACATACTTACCTTAGAACGTGGAGGTCAATCAAACATATAGTCCTTAATAAAGGAGGAGACGAGTATATTATATGGAGAAAGTACTTATATTTAAAGTGTAGAGCAATGGTCTTCAATGTCCTTAAGGGTTATCTGCCTCACTGGCATGGTGTCTGGGCAAGGGTTGAAAGGCGTACACACATTTGTTCGCATTATTGAAACATCTGGAAAGCAAAGGAACACACAAAAGATTGCACACTTTTGCAAATTCAGCAAATACACGTATTTACAAATTCATATTTGCATTTCACACTTTGTACTCGCTTATCAATATCAGTGTAAAAGTTTAAATTGCGAAAGAAATGCAGTGATTATAATACACATACTTACTCATATAAACACATGATATTTATCAAGATACCTTTATATGTATAACATTTGGATGTTACGATAAAATTAGTACGGTACTTAAAGTTGATACCAGTCTTTTATTGCAGTTGAAGAGGCTAAGTTAATTGCTTCACCTTGGCTAAAAAAAGCTAAGTGATTGAACTCATGTTTTGGAGAGTTTATTCCCATACAAATCTCTGTCATTTCAAATCTTCCACAGTTGACATCGGATAATCGCAAACTCTTTTTATTAAAACCGATAATTTATGTCAGCACACCAAAGTAAAATAAACAGTTTGGCATCTGAAGAGCAACAACAGATAATTCACAAAATGCAAATATCACACAAATGCTAAAATAAACAAATAAATAAATTGTTTTGCACAAATTTAAGTAACTGCACATACTTTTTATGCATATTCATTCGAATACTCGTCATAAATATTATTTGTACACATGTTACGCCGCCCACTTCTAAGAGCAACCATAAATAAAAAGTAAAAGATCCTTCCCATAAATTTCTATAAAACCCTGTAAATCTTTTTAACGCAAAGTTTTATTTTATTAAGAGGAATTTTAGACTCCCTCCTTGATTATAAAAAACCTACTGTTTAAATATGTTAATAAAAAATGAAACAAAGCATTCTAAAAATCTAAAAGCAGTCCAGTTAGATTATTTAGAAATACAACACAAATAAAGCATTTACGCAAATTACAAACTATAGTCCGAATGCATAACGAGTGTTTGTTGGCGCGACTCCCACGAAATCTCAAGGAACTTGTTTACGTTATTATGGGAAACCTCTGCATTTCCACACTTTTTGTAACGCAAAACAATAAAAATGTCAGATCCATATATCCATCTCTATATCCAGATTTTCTAGATAACACACTTTTGCGTGAAAACAGTATACAAATATCCCCTACACAACTTAAAGGAAAGCGCGGCCCAAAAACTTGTTGGGAACTCGTGCGGCGCGCTCATATTTACAGCTATGATAAAAGTGTGTTTATTTAAAGATTTTGACAAGATCTCAGGTAATATATCTTAGCCCATGTGGCAAAAGGGGCAGAGAGCATTTCGTTTGGCATTTAAAACTGCAACTGCCGTCACTTTCGAAAAGTTTCAACTTGGTCATGGGAAAAGTTACAGACTGCTCTCCGGCATATCCAAATTACATTCTAAAATAGAATAGCTTATAAAATTTGGAGAACTTAAATCTGCTGATATTTAGTGTAAACTGTGGCAATGGATTTCGATGCAGTTCTGGTGAAGTGCGGCAATTTCGGGCGTTATCAATTTGTGTTATTGCTATTGTACGGCTGCACAAATATTCTATCGTCGATGCATTATTTTGCACAAACTATTATTAGTTTTACACCTGAGCATTGGTAAGTTTAAGAATTCCGAAGTCCCAAAATAAATAAGTCAGTTACTTAGAAGTGTAATTAAACTCAGACGTTTCATGGGTTTCGATATGGATTGAACGCTAAATTAATATCTCAAGTTGCGCCCAACAATGATATAATTACTTATCCTAACTATTCATAAAAACGTTAGATGAAAACAAATGTGGAAATCTACCTATTGTACGAGTATATTATTTTTTTATTATTGCCTCTCCAATGAGTTAATATGAATTTTTAAATAGTCAGAATTGGCTAGAATACGAATGCAAAAACTTACTTCATACCCATTTATATGTTATATGACTGTGTGAATGCGAATTGAGGAGCTTTTGATTAATCACGTAGTTAACATAAATTGACTGCCATCTTCCATTAGTTTCTATTTTATTTCCACATTTTTCTTACTTAGGATTAGAGCTGTGTTGTGAAAATTATTGAAAACCTGAAAGTACAATATATATAAAAAATCTAATTCATAAAAAACCTCAATGAACAATTAATAATGCTATTTTATCGAAACTTCAGGTGCTTTCACGAAAAGTTAGCCAATGCCAGTATGTCATACGTACGCAGCATTTATGCGCAAACAGCAGATCCGCAGTGCACTCTGCTGGAAGACATCGTCGACGATCAGCCGATAGTTGCGGCCGTGGGTAAATGCACTGAATGGATCTATGCATATGATCGTGGCTATCGCAGTATTACAACAGATGTAAGTTAAGAAATACTAAATATAGAAAATTTTTTCACATTCACATATGTACGAGTACGTCATAAATTATTAACATTTTCAGCAAAAATAGTTTGGACAATTTAATTGAAAAACGCTGAATATTCATTATTTGGCTTTTTGTTAGCATTAACTATTGAATTTGCTAAATTTTCAGCTCAAATGGGTTTGTAATGATGCATACCAAGCTGCTACAGGTCAGTCGTTCTTCTTTTTGGGTTCTATCATTGGCACAGTATTTTTTGGATTTCTTGCTGATAAAATTGGGCGCTTGCTAGCGCTGATATGCACAACACTGGCTGGCGCCTTTGGTGACTTTTTAACCTCCTTTGTAACATCACTACCTGCATTTGCATTGTTCCGCTTTGTATCGGGTCTATCATGTGATACGATATTTTACCTAATGTACATAATGGGTGAGTAGCAAAAGTTTACTACACAATAAGAATTGAATTTAAAGTTGTTTTTTATTATTCCTACGAAGTTTTCGAGTACTTGAGCCCCGAAAAGCGCACATTTGGTCTGAATGTTATAACTGCATTTTTCTACTGTTTTGGTTTGATTTTATCACCCTGGTATGCTATTTGGGTAGGATCATGGCGTTATTATCTCTATATCGCTTCTCTGCCTGCTTTGATCGTGGTGATCTATCCCATCTTTATTTGCGAGAGCGCGCAGTGGTTAATAGCAACTGAACGTTACGATCGAGCTGTGAATTGCTTAAAGCGAGTCGCGAAATTCAACAAGCGTAAAGTTGAAGAAGAAGTATTCACGCAATTTCGGTCACACTATGAGGAGAAAATGGCTTTGGATAAAAAGTTCAATAGAAATGAAGACACTTTCTGGGGAATGTTTCGTACGCCGAGACTACGAAAATTCACCATTATCCTGTTATTGAAGTCGTAAGTGACAAAATAAATATAAATCTTAATTTGCGCTGTTAACAAAACAATAACTCTTGCACCACAGCATGATCGTCACGATCTCTTTTGACGTAATCAGCCGCAATATGGAAGGTTTAGGCTCCTCACCCTTCACGCTATTCTCGATCTCCTCACTTGCATATATTCCAGGCGGTCTGACAATTATTTTTCTGCAAAACCGCATAGGCCGCAAAGGCATGGCATTCGGATCGCTCTTCGTTAGTTCGATCATAGTCACTGTAACTGGCTTCATGATCGCTTTACTTGATCCTGAAAACAATGCTGTGCTACTAGCAATTATGGTTGGTCTGGGTCGTTATGGTGTAATTGTGAGTTATGATGCGGAAGCACAATATGCCGCAGAATTTATACCAACTACAGTACGTGGGCGTGGCTTGGCGAATATTCATGTGATCGGCTATGGTTTTGCCATGCTTAGTTCATATATCATTTATTTGCGTCTCTACTTTAAGCCGTTGCCCTCGATTGTTATTTCGGCGGTAATGTTGTGTGGCACGCTACTCTGCCTGGCACTGCCGGAGACATTAAACCAGTAAGTAGACGAACATTTCGAAAAAAGAAAATATTTTTAAAGTAAAATATATTGAAATTTAATTCGCTTTTTATCTTTAGAAAACTACCCGAAACTCTTAAAGACGGTGAAGATTTTGCAAGACATCAACGCTGGTACTACTTCCCTTGCTTTAGTCGAGTACAAACTGATAAAAATGATGTCGTTGAGAAGCAAGATACTCTTAGATAGAGATACTATATTAAAATTGATACTTTATATTCTTATTCAATTTTTATATACATTTACAAAAGTGAAACTGACTATTTCGAAATTTTTCATTTTGTTTTCCATAAGATTACTAATAACAATTAAGGAAGGACTAAGTTTGGGTGTAACCGACAATTTAATACTTTTGCAACTTGCAAGGAACAAAGGCGGAGGGACACCTTCAGGTTTTGACAAAACTTTATATCAAACTACGGAAAGTATCACCGCGATTTCATCCATTTGAGGACTCTGTTATTAGAAAAAGATTATTTCTAAAATTTATTTAGATTTCTTACACATTGTTCGATAGATGCGGTATAAAGTGAACCGGAGGTTCGAAAATAGTTATGTTAGGTATATGGAGGCTAAGAGAAGAGTTGACCTGCTTTTACCCATTTTGGGCACAAGTTATAGTTCGATTTCGACAGTTTTTGAACGTAAGATTGAATATCTTGAGGGCGCTATTTGTGAAAAGTTTTATTATGATAACTATATTGGTGTTTCATTTGTATACTGTAAAGTGAAAGATTCAGACGAAATTTAAAGTTTGTTATATAGGAATTAGGCGGTCTAAAAGGAATGTTTGGCCTTGACATCAGCCCAACACTGGAAGAAAGAGAGCGAAACAAAACTCGGTACATATCGGAATCCTGTACCAGATACCAAATATTTATCGCCGCTTCTATTAAAATAAATAAAGTAAACCATTATATAAAAATGCAAGGATTTTTTTTATATATTTTTTTCATTTCAACCTATATGCACCGCGAAAACTTACCATTTTTGTATTATTCTACTGCATTTCTCATTGGCTTCTATTTCTTAACTGACTTCAATTTTAACACAGAAGGGATTCGAATGCCTTTCAATATAAACAGTGACATGAGAAAATGCAAATTATTTGTATTTGTTTGCTGAAATAATTGACTCTGTCGAATTAATTTGTGAAATAATGAGAGAGAATTCCGTTAAGTTATAGAACTTTCTATGAAGGGGACTTACTGACATGTACTGAGATGCAGGGAAAGCTATTATGATGCAAACAAAAACTGAAACCACGCTCGGATTGAGTGCACATAGTAAAGTTTATGTGAATGAAGAGGAAGGATCGAAACCCCAATTTCCGAGCCAAAAACCCCTTGTGCTAAACAGAACAAATAAGTTTCTTTGGCATGGTCTCTGGAGATGTTATATTACTTGAAGCGTGTTCATAAACGAGACGATTTTAAATAAAAACCAAAGCTTCGTTCTCTTGAATTTATCATTGATTTAAATTATCAAAATAAGGATGAAGAATTGTCAATTCATGCGAACGCGAACCTTTTCTGAGGCAGCACCAAACGTCAGCTACAGCACACTCACCCACACAAACTCATATACGAAAAAATGACGTTTGATGGAAAGAGTTGTTCAGTATACCAATAATTGCGAACTAAGAGATCTACAAAGCAAATTTTTACATCCCTACGCACACACTCTCAAGTCAGCAACCTTAATATGGTACACATACATACGCAACCAGAGTGGGATTATGTAAAAGTATTTGGCAATATAGTATAAAGTATTAATAGTGTTGATGTTTGCGCTTTAGAAACGCTAACGAAAGCAAAAGCGAAATCATGTTCTTTACTCTCGTCTCGCAACAAGTGCCCTCCTAATACAAGCATACTTCAACAGCAACATTGCTTAAATGCCGAAGGCTGAGCTAGAGTACGCCGTAGTCGGTCGCAGCCTAGGCAGTCAATCGTATATAAAAGCTGAAGCAGACGTTCTGAAAGTTTTTGTGACTTTTAGGAATGTTGGCAAACTGAGTGTAGAAGTGTGTAAGTGTGTGACGAAGATATTATAAGGATATCTTTTTACATAAACAAATTAATAAGAACAAATTCATAAACATAAAATTGTGTAAACTGGAAAGCTAATAATTAAAAAATAAAGAAAATGGGTTTGCAAGTAATAGATTTTGACGCGGTTTTAAAGAAGTGTGGCAAATTTAGACGTTTTCAATTTCTTACTTACAAATCTTCTTTCCTCGAAGCATTCCTTTGCACAAACAATAATCAGTTTTACGCAGCACTGGTAAGGGAGGCAACAGCAAATGGAAATCAAGTGTTTGTCTAATGAATGTAAGGGGAGGTCAGGAAGTGTTGTACAAGTATCTTCAAAGTTAAACCTTTATTATTGCAGACCTAAGTGAATCCGACTAAGTGCTAGCTGGCTATTGTTTTATAATAAAATATTGCTTTCTTAGAAATTTGTAGATTCAAATTGGGGATTTAAAGGAGTTGTTAAATTTTTTTCTAATTCCGCTTTTTGGTTAAAAAATAGTTAGAAATAAACATATCCTAATATTAAAGGACATGTATCTGCATTAATTATGAAGCAAATGCAACGCTGATTTACATTGCAGGCTTAACTCAAGAAAAAATGCTAACGAGCTAAAGAGCAAGAAAAACTTTTTAAGGGCAATGCAATACTTTCATATAATGTAATAATTTATTGCTTATTGTTTTTTAAAACCACACATACACATATATTTAAAAAGCCGTTAAATATTTTATTTCAACAATTCTTATATATATTATATCTTTAATTTCTTCGTACAATTTTCAAAAAACATTTCAGTTGTTAAAGCAAAACTGAAAGTAAATCGTTTGTGAGTTTACCCGTGATAATACAATAGAACATTTCTAGACCATTTTCGAGTTCCTGTGGAACATTTTAGATTCAGCTTCGCAAATATGTAAATATCTACTGTTTTCTCACTAGGTGTTACCACGAAAAGCTGTCAAATGCCAGTTTTGATGAAATTCGCACAATCTACGCACAAACGACTAATGCACATTGCACCTTGTTAGATGACATAGTCGGTGGTCAGCCAATTGTTGCCAAAGTCGGTAAATGCCAGAGGTGGATCTATGAATATGAAAGTGGTTATAAAAGCGTTACTTCAGATGTAAGTATGGTCATGAAGTTTTGTGTTGATTAAATTGTCTTAAAAAAAACAAGATATACGGATTATTAAACAAAAAGTAGAATCGCGATCGTCGTGTCCGTTGCGCGCTCAAAATGTCTGCATCTGTCAAATGCGCTCAAATGTATGCAACAATTATTGTATCCATTAGTTACAACAGTTAATATAATATGAGAGTAGGGCGAGCACATAATGTTCTACAATTAATATCATGCCATTTTAGAAGATAGTAAATCTAAAAATTCTTTTCACAATCAGTATAAGAATTCTATACAATACTAAAGTTTTGTGCATAATCACCAAGATGATCGCGTGGTCTTAAACGTGTTGCCAAAATCAACAAACGCGAGGTGAAAGATGAAGTTTTCAATGAATTCATAGCACACTATAAGAAAAAGACTAGCAACGAACTCGAGAAAAAAGCCAATACAGACATATTTTGGTGCATGTTTCGTACACCACGTTTACGCAAATTCACCACTATGATGTTGTTGAAGAAGTAGGTGAAAGTCTTCTTTTAGTTACTACACATAATTTTTCTGTCTCTGATAGTCTCTCTTTCAAATATAGCTTGTTTCTCGCGCTCGCACTCGATGTGATCAGCCGTAATATCGAAGGCATGGGCAGCTTGCCATTCATACTTTTCTCAGCCACTTCAGTGGTTTACGTTATGGGCAGTTTAACCATCATCCTGCTGCAAAATCGCATAGGTCGCAAGGGAGTGGACTTTAGTACACTCCTAGTGAGCTCAGTAACCATTGCGGCTACCGATTTCTGATTACCTTTACCGATATGCAGAAAAACGCTTTACTTCTTGCGAATATGGTCGGCCTTAGTCGGTATGGCGTCGTCGTGAGCTATGAGGCGGAGGCACAATACTCCTCCGAATTTATACCGACCACCGTACGCGGTCGTGGCATGGCTAATATACATGTTGCAGGTTTCGCATTTACCACTCCGAACTCATATCTGATATATGCCTCTTTTATGCCTAGCGCTACCTGAGACCATGAATCAGTAAGTAAATAATTTATATATAAAGAATTATTTATCACTTTATCTCTACAGAAAGTTACCACAAACTTTGAAGGATGGTGAAGAGTTTGCTCGCCATCAGCGCTGGTACTATTTTATATGTTTCGATAAAAACAAGAACATGAAGGAAGCTAAAGTCACTAATAGTTGAATACGTATATTTAACAACTTTTCTTGAATTTTTTGCTACGAATGCTAGATTATAATTATGTATCGAACGCAATGCTAATTTGTTCTCTTTTCCAATGTTTAATGATCCCGACTTTAGAAAGAGAGAGATTTATGTACAGATTTGTTTCTATACCTAAATACATTTTTATAGTCATTTAAAAATTAGTGCAGTTTTTATGGTTTCTGTTAGCAATGATGGCATGACCAATGAATCCTCGCAATTCGTTGTCAATCTCCGATAAAATATGTTTCTTTCTAAAAATATCCCATTTTAAATCAATTAAAAAGAATAGAACCTTGCTCTTGATGTAAGAGGGATAAACTTTTCACTCTTCCTTTCAATGCTACACCATAGCTTTAATATTATCTCACATAATTTCATATAGTTTACTTATAGTATATATACCATATATATACTTTATTATTATTTTTTTTGATAAAAATATCTCTTCAGAATATAGCTCTTATCAAAATACGTTTCATATCAACGTTATATCATTAATATATTTGAATTTCGATTTTATCTGAGCCTCGACTAATACCGCACTTAGCTCATAATTAGAAAAAGTAAAACTGAGCAAATGATTAGAAACCAGTTATTTATGCATTCCTCTCCATAAAACGAACTTATTAAATTAAAAAAAAAAAAAACTTGTTCCAAATATCACAATGCATATACTGAATCATGATTATAATTTGAGTATGCATTTTAATTAGCTAATCTATACACACTTCATTACACATAGAATTAAGTATTATTAAAAAAATGTACCCAAGCACAACTATGTTGCACTCTAAAGCTCAGAATCGCTCTGACACGCTTTATTACCCCTTGCTCGTCCTTAGAATCGATTGTGCGAATAATATCTTCCGTAAAGAGTGATATTTCCGGGAATTTCCAATGGAAACTTGAAAATTATACGAAATCGGTAGCAAGCTCCTCAGATGCAACATTATTACTCTTTCCTCACCCATCGACGTTAGGTCGAATAATTTTCATATTAGCGTGCACTGCCTTACTTATTTTATAAGATTCTAAATAAATGTACATTTGCATCTTAGAAAACCAGAATTTAAATTTTATACATCGTTTTCCAAAGACATACATACACTCTTCTGTAAGTTTAAAGATGTTTAGATCTTTACTTTATGACAATTATATTTAGGAATATTTTAAAAAGTAATTTATTCAAACACATTTGAGAAGAGACCACAACTCTTGTAGGTTCGCTCTCCCTGAAATTCAAAATCGAGATTAAAAGCTATGAGCATTCGAAAAAATACACATTTAGTTATTCCATCTCGTGGAATATATTATCACCGACAATCACATTGCGCAACGGTGACTCGTAAACATTATTGCTCGATGTAATTTCGATTTTCAGCTAAAAGTGTGTGATCATTTTTACAACGGTTTCGCTCGTTTTGTTAATGACTCTTTATAGATAAAGTTTGCTGCTGCAAAATTCTCACATAAACAGTTTTCTTCTCTAGACGCAAGCAAACGCTTGTTGTACTCGCTGCGGCCATATATAAGCCGATGTTCAGGTATTGAAATATTGGATGACTCTAGGAAAGTGCTGATGTATCGGACTTACGCTTAACGGCGCATAACAATTACATACTGACAAAAATATAAACGGAAAAATTTCAAAACGTTATAAAATAAAATAGCGAAAAAGATGGATTTCGATGCTGTGTTAAAGAAATGTGGCAATTTCGGGCGTTTCCAATTTCTAGTACTGCTATGTTTTAGTCTGACTAACTTCCTTTCATCGATGCATTACTTTGTGCAAACGATAATTAGTTTCACGCCGAAACACTGGTAAGTAGCAGCCAATGCCGATAACAAATACAATAGAAGTACAATTAACATTAATAGAGAGTGCACTAAAGACCTACAGACCAGTGAGCATCAATTGTTTAGTGATCGTTAGCGGTGCATACCAATTGTTAACTAAATAAATTTAGAAGTGCTATGCGAAAGTATTAATGCAACATAATTGTGTTTATGCGAGGGTAGTTCAATTTTTATGACATCATATTTTAAATAATAAATTTTTTAATTGTTCAATATAATGAGATGTATGAAATAGATACTACTCTATCAGATTATCCTTTTTTAGCCGTATTTAATCAGAGCCGAATACACCGGCATTAAAAACTTTTCTGTTATAAATAAAATGAATATCTCATTGCCAAGAATGTGAAAAAAAAACAAGAAAAAACATTAACTTCGGTTGCCCCGAAGCTATAATTTCAGCAAACTTTTAAATCGATATCTCGAAAAATGAGGGAATGGTTTGCATATATACAGACAAACGGACATGGCTAAATTGACTCAGCTCGTCATACCTATCATTTATGTAATTTTTATAGGATCTCTGACGTTTCCTTCTGGGTGTTACAAACTTCGTACCAAAGTTAATATACCTTGTTCAGTGTATAGTTTAAAAAGTCAACGATTCCGTTTTCACCTAAAAAAATATCAAAACTATCTGCAATATAAATATAAGCCTTTTTAGAATAATATTCAATTTCACATTTTTCGCACTGGCAATGGTTTACTGCAATGTGCCAACTAGGGTTGACTACGATCATATTTCATCATGCGCAGTGAGAAAGAACCTGAATAACACAAATCTAAACGGAGAATTGGCAAACAGATAAACAGACGTAGCTTAATCAGCTCGTCACTCGGGTTTTATACTTTTTTGTCTGTTATTTAATGCCGTTACACTCAACTGTTAGGTAAATAAAATTACTGCATCAACTTTTTATTTTCGACGGACTTAAGCCGGTGTTTAAGAATTCGCAATGAGTTTACTGCAACTCTAGCAGGTCACAATATTTGTAATGCAGCAGATCAAAATGTAATATTTTCTTTTATCGTTTAAATATTAGGTGTTACCATGAAAAGCTGTCAAATGCCAGTTTCGATGAAATTCGCGCAGTGTACGCACAAACAACCAATCCACATTGCACTCTGTTAGACGATATTGTAGATGGCCAGCCAATTATAGCTGAAGTCGGTAAATGCCGGAGGTGGATATATGAATATGAAAGTGGTTATAAAAGTGTTACTTCAGATGTAAGTACGATCATGAATTTTCCTATTACTTAAATTGTCTTAAGAGAGAATACCATAAGGTGGTAATTCAATAAAAGTAGATGGTACAGTTCGTCATGATCGAAGCGCGCTCAAATTGTCTGCTTCTGATTGGTGCGCACAAATGTATGTTACGTTTACGGTGTGTACTGTGTGTGTATAGATAGTGTTAAAAGAGACCACTCGAAAAATTTATGAATTTCTTATGTCTCTTCTAGGCACACGTAGATACAAAATTTGTGTAGTATATTTTTGTATACAGATATGAAAGTCAGCAAGACGTTTTTTATTAATTACCGCAAATTATTACGTAAAGATATTGTCACGTATGTAAAAAAAAACAAGCTAAATTATTTCCCTATATGTTGTTTATAGCTTAACTGGGTATGTGACGAAGCTTTACAATCTGCGATCGGACAATCCCTCTACTTTGTGGGATCTGTCATTGGTACGGTTTTTTTCGGATACTTGGCAGACAAAATCGGCCGACTACCTGCATTGATCTGCACCACACTTACTGGCGCTACAGGCGACTTTCTTACAACTTTTTCCACCAATTTGCCACTGTATTCCATATTTCGCTTCATTTCGGGTTTATCCACGGACACATTTTACTATCTGATGTACATAATGGGTAAGTTAATGGTCATCAAGTATACAAAGGCACTTGGCACAAAGACTATGATTCGATTTTCTGAGGTTATTGCCTCAGTCTTTATTTCTCTTATTTTCAGTCTTTGAGTATCTTAGTCCAAGAAAACGTACACTCGGTCTAAATATGATCACTGGTATATTCTATTTCCTTGGCTTGGCTTTGTCCCCTTGGTTTGCACTGTGGTCAGGTTCATGGCGTGGCTACCTGTACATCGCATCTTTACCGGCCGTAACTGTTCTAGTATACCCATTTCTGATATGTGAAAGTGCACAATGGCTGATAGCAACACACCAATATGATCGCGCGGTAAAATGTCTCAAACATGTTGCCAAGATCAATAGACGCGAGGTGAAAGATGAAGTTTTTGATGAATTTATAGCACACTATAAGCAAAAGACAAGTGAAGAACTCACAAAGAAAGCCAATAAAGACACATTTTGGGGCATGTTCCGCACACAACGTTTGCGCAAATTCGCCATTATGATGTTGTTGAAGAAGTAGTTGAAAAATATCTGTTTTATGCTTTACTTTATCTCTCATACTCTCTCTTTCTTATACAGCATGTTTCTCGCACTAGGACTGGATGTGATCAGCCGCAATATGGAAGGCATGGGCAGCTCACCATTTAAACTCTTTTCAGCCACTTCAGTTGCTTACGTTGTGGGCGGTTTAACTATAATCTTGCTACAAAATCACATAGGTCGCAAGGGGATGGCCTTTAGCACTTTCTTAGTCAGTGCCATCATTATCGGCGCTAACAGTATCCTGATCGCTTTTCTTGATACCGAGCGAAATGCTTTACTTTTCGCTATTATGACTGGTCTCTGCCGTTACGGCGTCGTTGTGAGCTACGAGGCGGAGACACAATACTCCTCCGAATTCCTACCAACCACCGTACGTGGGCGTGGCATGGCCAATATACATGTTGCCGGTTTCGCTTTTACCAGTCTGCATTCTTATGTTATATATTTAGGTTATTTCTACAAACCCCTTCCATCGATCTGCATATCTTTAGTAATGTTCCTCGCAGCAATATTGTGCGTATCACTGCCAGAGACAATGAATCAGTGAGTATTCATAAATATGTAATATGTGTTTATTTGATTTTTACATTATATACATATGCTATCACAACAGAAAACTACCGCAAACATTGAAAGATGGAGAGGATTTTGCTCGAAATCAGCGTTGGTACTATTTTGTTTGCTTCGATAAGACGATAAGCAAGAAAGACGGTGATGTCAGCAATGAGAGTCATTGAGGTATAAAAAATGATAAGTGATTGTTTTACTAATAATACCGAAGATTTGTTATTCGTATTGAATGGTTGTTTATTTTTTCTATGAACTTTAAAATGGAAATGGTAAAATTTTATTCAAATATATGTACATGCACATGCTATAAGCTTATAATTTGATAACTTTGTTTGTATTCGTTCATGAAAATTTGAAGCCATGGTCGGTAAAGTCATAAATGCTGTCAGGATTTTAGATTATTATGATATCTGCCTGCCCTCCATCGCCCATTGTCTCTTATCCAACCGCCACACATGCGGCGTAAATGAAAACAAGACAGTTTAACAAAATTATTCGCTAACTGTACTATTTTGAGACTTCTCCTTTGTATTTTTACATAAAAAATAATTTTACAAACGTAAATACATATATACACGATATATGCTTACATATGTACACGTACATGTAATTGGAGAAAAAGAAGGAAAATATGTATATAAATTTTTATGTTAACTAATGAATGCTTATATAGTACATATTTAATTTGTATAAATGTACACTATAAGCTAACTGTAATTAAGGAATCTATATATGCGTTATAAGCTTATACATTAATTTCCTTAAATCTTTTTCCTAATTATTATGCTGAAAAGAAAATTAAATACATTAATTCTCAAATGATTGATGCAGCTATTATATAAAATGATTTTTAGGCACCTATTACATTTATAAATGTGCTATTATCAAATTTTTTTATGTACATATTTGTGTATATAAATGTTTCGTCTCTTTATATTTGATGGCTTCTATATGTTCACTAGAACAATCTATTTCGGTATGCTCTTTTTTCTTTTATTTGTGAAAACAACAATTTTTTATGCTTTACTTTATACATAAGGTATGTACACATGTGTAAATTTATACAAAAAATATTTTTATTTCTCTATTTTTTCCTCAAGTTGTACATCTGCATAGAAATCAGTACTGGCTTAAAGCTCTGCTTAAGTAAAATTGTGCCAAATGCTAAGTTTGATTATTATAACTTTCAAGTACATATGTACGTACAACGTTATTGTGTAGGGTTTAATAATTTTTGATACATATCGCTTATTTCCTATATGTAATACATAATACAAATTTTATTTAGTGCAAAAGGAAGGATATATATAGTATATACCTTAAAATATATAATGTATACACATATATCTGTGTATGCGTGTAAAAAATTCTTTCCCTAAGCACTTCTTTCGAAATTTTAACTGAAATCTTACCACCCGTTCCCTACCAAGCACCTGTTAACTACCACATTACAAGTAAGCTCTTATGAACTAAGGACGTTGACTATACAAAACAAATAATATAAAAAATTACATAAAATTATTGTTTTTGTGTGCTTTCGCTTCTGTGCAAAATATTACCGTTATCCGATGTTTGTGTTTTTTGTTTATTCTAAAACTTAGCACCTAAAGCGGCTAACGCGTTCGCATACATTTACGCCGCGCTGTTGAGATTCTCATCGGCTGATTCATTGCCACGATCGAAATCAGTTAACGATTGCTTACGCTCGTAGGCTTCCTCTTCAGAGTCACATGAATGTTTGCCTTTCTTCGAAAGACAAGGGAAATCAAACATACGTTCGCCTTTGCCGAAAATTTCACCCTCTTCGACGGTTTTTGGAAGTGTTCTGTAAAATTTGCATTAAAAATTAGTACACACAAACATTTTGTAAGGATAATTGCTTCCGCACCTGTTAAGCGTTTCGGGAAGTAGTAAACACACAAAGGAACCCGTAAAAAAGAGCGCACCCAAAATGATCGATGGCGCTGCCTTGAAGAATGTGCCCAACCACAAAATGTAGGGCGCCAAAAACGATGCTGCAAAACCAGCTACGTGTACCGCTGCCACACCTTGGCCGCGCACACATGTTGGTATCAACTCGGTGGCATATTGTGATCCGGATTCATATGAAATCGCCACACCGAAACGCGCCGCTATGGTTAAGCATGCCAGAAGCACGGCATTGTGATTGTGCTGTTGATAGGCGATCGCTACGCCTGCCAACGAGGTAAATAAACCACCGACAAGTAGCGAGCCGGCCGCCATGCCCTTGCGTCCAATGCGATCTTGTAGCAAGATCACGATTATGCTCGATGGCAGCACGGCAATGGCGCTCAAGGAGAACATAACGAATGGCGAGATGCCCATACCCTCGACATTTCGCGAGACCGCATCGTAACAGAGTGTAATGACCATGCTGGAAGGTAAATAACGATGAATTATGTTTTTATTAGTACGAGTATAACATATATGGTAACAATTAATGTGAGTCATATAATTGTGATTGACTTCTGGAGTTAGCGCTTAGGAGGAAATAAACGAACTTAATATATAATATTGTATAACATATATACTTACGATTTGAAAAACAATATAAGTGTATGCTTGCGCATGCGTGGCGTTTTAAACATATCCAGCAATGTTGAGTGCACCTGCTCATCGCCGCCCATCTTTTGACGTTGTTTTTCGCAATGTTTTCGAAATTCTTCAAATTCTGATGGAGTCACTTTACGTTTGTTAAATCGTGCAACTCGTTTCAAACGCTTTATAGCACCGTCTACATCATTTCTTGTGACCAACCATTGAGCGCTCTCCTGCACTACAAAATAATAAAGAACAACGGAGAGTATTGGCAGTGAAGTACAGGCCAAATAAAGTTGCCAATGCCCAACAAGTACAGCCAACCATGGTGTGAAGACTAGGCCAATTGTATAGAATACACCGACAGCCAAATTTAGACCAAGTGTACGCATCGATGGACGGATGTATTCAAGCACTAAGGAATGGAAAAGGATACAGCTCATTACAATTATTTTGCAAATTAGCAATAGACTCACATAGAAGATTACAAAAAAATGTCATAATGAAAATTCCAATTCACTCACCAATAATATACATAAGGTAAAAATTCGTATCTGCCGCCATGCCGGATATGAAACGACAGAGTGAAAACGTAGTAACGCTTTGAGAGAATATTGTCGAAAAGTCCCCAATAAAACCCGAAAAATTCGAAAGTATGAGAGCAGGCAAGCGACCAATCTTATCTGAAAGCAGTCCATAAAAGAGGGTTCCAACAACGGAACCTATAAAGAATAACGACTGTCCGATGCGTGCTTTGTACGCCGAATCACAGACCCAGTTTAGCTGTAAGAATGTGAAGAAAACGGAAAACAGAACACTAAATTAATACAATTTCAAAAGTTTTATTCAAAAAAATAGGTTTTTTCAAAGCGAAATGTTTTACGCACTCACCTCTGTGTTCATGCTCCGATAGCCATAATCGTATTTATAGATCCAACGCGTACAACTCTCCGGACTCACCGTTACATTCGCACCGTCAATGTCGAGCAGGCGCGTACAAGATGGATTCGGAAACTTCGCATAGATCTCCGCAATCTCATCGAATGACTTATTCACTAATTTTTCATGGTAGCACCAATGATCGGGCACAAAACTTATCACAGTTTGGGTAAAATAATGTAGTGAGACAATGAAGTTGATTACACCGAACAATGTCAACAACAGAAACTGATAGCGACTGAAATCGCCGCATCTCGTGAGAATCTGATCAAAATCCATATTTGCTGATAGATGAGATGATGGTCACGTGACGGTTGCTGTCAATGATCTTTCAAGTATTGACGTTTAATTATAAACGGAACACAAGGAAGTTGTATTGTCCGTAAATAGAATAGACAATGAGCGTGGCAGTCAATCGTAGACGTTTGTTTGAGCGATAAATGACCGGTTAAAATGGTAGCAATAAATTCAAACGAGCGCTTAGTATTAATGAGTTTGCATTGGCAATTTCGTTGGCTTTCTTTGTACTGTATGTAAGTTGCAGTCTTGAAACAGCCAGCGCTTGCACTTCTTAACGTGCTTTTTATATGTATACTTGTTTGTATTGTTTTTGTTTTTTTTTCCTGTGCGGTGGGCGGTGTTCTTGACGATGCTAACTAACTATGATTGCGCGTTCGCTATCAGATTTTTTATGTTTAAGCGGCAATACTTTATATTCGTTTCGATTATTTAATCAATTAGTCTTAATAATTAAAGAATTTATTTATAAGAGTTCAATTTTTGTCTACCTCAAACCTTAGGGCAAGTGTTCGTGTTGTTGTTCAACAAATTTCCGTTCCACAATTTGTTATTATAATTTTATTTAAATAGTTTTATTTATATTCGCAGATTATACGCGTAAATATATATAAGTGTATGTATGTGTTCCGTTAAACTGAACTAAATTTAATGTAGTTTTGCATGTAAATTACTTCTGTAATTAGAACCAAAAAATAAATAAATATGAAATGACTTTATTGGTTGTGACATTTGTTTTAGTTTTCATACTGTAGGGAATATAAACATGTACTTAAGAAGTATAAAAATGAAATTCGCAAAGCCAAGAGGGAGTCATGGAACGAAGTTTGAAAAGACTACCGAGGTTGCCAGACTTAGAAAATTACTATCCAAGCACAGCACAAGATTTATCAACTGCAAGGTTAGCAGCGTTAGGGGAATTCTTCGGGCATAGCTCAATAACTAGGCGGCAGATGGATAAATTAGACCACATAACCTCTCGCTTTATTTGGGGGAGAAAGTTCCAGGTCACAATAAAAGAGGGTGGATGGCGTGGGAGCATGCGACTCACCAGCGGAACTTACAACATCAATACAGACGGCTCAAAAATGGCCAATGGAGTGGGCATCGGAATCTATTTCTCCGAACTAGATCTCAAGCGACCCTTCAAGCTTCCGGAATACTGCAGTATCTTCCAGAGGAAGTCTTTGCAGTCATAAAGGCGGCGGAAAAAGCTAACAACGAAGTTAACAACATAAAAAGGATAAATATACATATATATACGTCGATAGCCAGGCGGCAATCAAAGCAAGAATCTCACATTGCACTACGTCAGAGAATGAGAGAATTTAGAAGCAGTAAGGCAATAGATGTAGCGTCTGGAACATGTAGGATCGCCAAATCATGCGCAAGAGTTCCGAAGGAAAACTCGCATGCTTTTTACTCACGCGGTCTCAAAGGACAGCCGGACGGTTGTCGGCCTCTTGACCGGTCCCAACCTACTGGCATCTCATGCAAGCCGGATGGGTATAAGTAACGACGATACATGCAGTACGTGCAGAGAAGCAGGCATGAGAGACGAGACGCTGGAACACCTTCTATGCCACTGTCCAGCACTATCTAGAATTCATTCAAAGGACTAGACGAAGTAGTAAACTTAGACATCAAGTTGCTTTTAAAGTTCGCAAAAAGATTTTACGTCGTATATATTCATAAAAATAATTTAAATAATTTCCTTTCTAACAGTTGATATCGCGTTTGCATGTTTCCTAAACACAAACACATACCGCAAAAATTAACTATTCGAAACAATGTATTTACAGATAAGTACATAAATAGATGACACTTCAGCTGAAGTTATTTTAATGCCTTTGGTTGTAAAGTGGCTAATAAGTATTATTATAAAAGTAGATAATAACAAGTCAACAGTGACACACGACCTAAACTGAAGGTGAAATAACATCTGCACATGGTTGAATTTCCTAAATGTTAGCTCTCACACGTGTCATAGAAAATAATGTGGTTTTAGGAGTATAAATAGAGTTAAATTTCTTCCCCTTTAAACTGTACCGTCTTTAGTAGTTATAAGACGCAATTTAAAGAAAAAATGTTGTTTAATTATTTGTTTTTTGTTTTAACTCAAAACAGCTCCCATATCTAAAAGAAGAAGCTTGTTTCTGATATATCTTTAAAATCCTTATTTTATACCTGTTTAATATAAAATTGTTTATACTTTAGACTGCTATCTTTTTACACAAAGTGCATGTAAATTAAACATTGCAGTGCTTTAATTATTTAGTCTGAATTAACATTTGCAATTAGTTTAGCTTTAAGGAAGAAATGAAAAAAAAAATTAACTTCCATGAGCATATGAAATTGCAGAAATTATCGGAGTTCCTAATTGTAAGCAATTGAAATATCTTATCGTGAAGAGCTGTTGGCATCAGGCGTGTACGCATGTCGGTCTTATTTGTTTGAAAATTAATCGATTTTTTATTGCTTTATGAGTGCAATATTATAAATGACTGATACGAAAGGTGTGATGTGATTACAAGACACGACAACAGTCCGATATGGTGGAGTACACAAAACCAGTCGTCTTGCTATCATTGAGGCAAATATTATTTAGAGACGACGATTTAAAGTTCAAATTCCAATTTAAATTCTTACAAATTCGAGGGAATTTTCACAAATTTCGACATGCTTATAAACATATTGAAGCAATCACTGCAACCCTGTGTGGGTCCTTTTAAATGATTAAGCAATAAAACGTAAAATCAAAAAAGGTTGTTATTATCGGTCAAATCGAATGCTAGTAAGCTGATTTCAATTCAAGTATTTTAATTCTTATCATTTCTTCTTCGAAACGGATACATTTTGTTATAATTTATATAACATATGTACATATGTATTTACGGTGCACATTTATTTTGCAATACGCTTTGGAAGAGAGCAAATATTTGCTTTATGTATGGTTTATTTCTTAGCGGAACTTTCATATTTACGCACCTGCAATTTTCAGCGCAGAATAAGGTCAGGAACGTTTTTCTTAACAGTGACAACAGGGTACTTAAATGAGTTATTTATTATTGAAATATTTACAAAAAACTTAAAACTTTCGCTTAACTGACATCCCAGACACCCTTTGCCTACTAAGCAATTATTTAATAACTTAAAAAGTGTGCCATTTCAGATAAGAATTTTTTGTTTTTAAACTTTAACATTTTAAAAGTAGCAATAAAGTGGATTTTTGCGATATAATAGAGAAATTAATAATAGAGAAATTGGATAATTTATTGCTGCAATAAAACTCAATAAATCAAATATTTGCCTTTTTTGTGTCAAAAATGTTTAAATTACACAATTAATTGTGCATTTTTTTTGGCTTGTACAATAAATAGAAACAATGAAAAAGTAATTAACAACTAAGCTGTCAGAAAATACTACAATAATTTCTTGCAAATACAAGATTATGAAAGTAATTACATATGCGATTTCATAACTGCCATTATTATTTGTTGACAATGGCTCAACGCGAAGTAGATGATAAAATATATAGTGGCACATCCCATATTCACAGACTTTTGTCAGTCCGCTATTAACTGATAATCGTAAAGTACCATCGCAAACACGTGTTCACGGTTACAAGCACAACAAACGCAATAGCTGATAGCAGCAGGTGGCGCAGTGCAGCGTGTTCTTCAGGGCACTCGTAATTCTTATTAGCCTTCTGTTTCCACGCCTGGTCTAGCCAGAGAACGTAAATGAATATTCATTAACATTCTCAGGTCTAGCTCGCCTTTAGTTTATACAACAATTCGCTATCATTTGTCTGTGGCTCTTCGAAGCCTATCATCAGAGCTATTTTAGACAGGCGCAACGCCTACGATAGCAGTACCAGTAGAAGCAGCAGCAAGGATTTTCGTGCCTATAACAGTTGTTGTTCACGTGTTTACTCCTGGTTTTATTATTGTATGCAAATTGGCAGTCTTAGGTCGGGTGTCAGATGTGACCGCAACTAAAGTTGATGCACCTTCGCTACAAATTGTTGCTTCGTAATAGAAAGCCAAACCCGTTAAAAGAAAATTAGTTTCGCTTATAGTTGACAACCATATGTATTAAGACGGATTACATAAGTGGGTACAGCTGAACCAACTTGAAATAGAAATGTATATCGAAATTGTAATGTTACACAATAAGCATTAATCATTGGTGAGCTCATGATATTTTTTAAAACCAACATTATTGACCAAATACCTACATACGAACCCTTATTAATATTTCAATCATTGATTTTTTTGAACGTTTAACCACAGTTTCCTTGCGAAATATTTGCAGAAGATCACGAATAACGAATTTCCTTGTTTGAGCATGAGAACTATTATTATGATTTTAAGAATAAAAAATGGTTTTCCCTTTTAACTGCTCACAAGTTAGCTGCGCGCTTGCCAATTCGAGTTTAACTAGCCAATATAATCTTATTACATTCAGCAGTTCTCTATAAAATTAAATTTCATAAAGTCTTTTTACAAAACCAACAATTGGTAAATCACATTCGAGTTTACAGAATCTTCAGAATCTCACAATTTTCGAATGTACATGTATTTGTTTTTAGAGTCGGTGAGGAAATTTTCTCTGAAACGGCTGAACCGATCGGCTTAAAATTTTCACACGACATTCTTAAGCATATTTTTCAGGTAACGATCGATGGAATAAGATTTTTGACTATAAATTCGATTTTTTAAGCCACTTTGAATTGTACATTTTCTTACAAAAAATTTATTTTTTTGTTTGGGAAGGCGCCATTTTCACAAAAATCAAAAATTTCAATATTCCTTCGATCATTACCTGTATTCATCTATCATAACACTAAATTTTATTGGTTTTTGGTTTCAGATAATTTGACGCCGAAATCACCTCACCGCCAGACACCTTTTTCCGGAGGTCCTTCTGGAGATCGGCTATAGGAACAAGGTGATCCAATATTTTTAAAAATTAATCGCTGATTCTAAAAGTACATGAAATTATTTTTATGTCCATTTTTTTTAAGTCGTAAAACAAAATTCCGGTTCAAAAAAAATTCACGAAAATACGCATTTTTCGGTCTTGAAAGTGTTTGTAACCCCTTAAGATAAGTTTTTACTGCTGACTACTTGGTCCTAAACACACTATTTTACATATCCTCATTTTCTCTCAGGTAGGGTTCATACACCACAAGATTCGTCGATGAACTTCCTGTTTCTTTAACAGTCCCTAAATCTTGCACATTCCAAAATATTTTACTTTTAATTATATATTTTATTATATTAAATATTTTTAGCACTTTAAAACGCAAAAATTAAAAGAACTCCAAAATATTTCAAATTGTGTCGATATGGTTCACCAACAAGTTAAATTTAAAAATGTATATAGATATAATAAACGTAACAAAATAGTTAATATATACACCATTTATAAAGTTTATTCGTCCAGAGCACCAATAACAAGTAATACCGGAGCAATTCTTATTTTTAATAATCTAGCAGTTCAATGGCTTTTAATAGCAAAAAACGCAATCATTTTGAAACCAAAACAACTTAAATTACATTTGGCAATCGGAAAACTTTTGAGAACTCATCGCGGCAATAAACAAAGCAAAATCTTTTATGCAGAACAACGCACCGTCTCTGACATCGAACAAAACAACTACTGCAAATACACTCGCGAATGCGAAACAATGCTTAGAAGCTCAGCAACGAAAACCGAATGCGCAATGTCGTGTACAACACATTTGAACGATATAAACAAACTGAACAGCAACACAAAGTCAAAGTGAGCAACAGTTCAAAGATCCGACAGCAACAGATTTTGAGTAGCGACAAGAACAAGCTGAGTCAGACCGGGTTGACTGCCGAAGGAAAGAGGGTGGATAACAGTCCCAGCCATCAAAGAGGTAGTCAGTTTCTCTGTTTGTACTACTAAAAAATTATTGTTTCAAAGATATACACACACAAATGCGTAATGTATAGAGCGTAGCAAATGAGAGAGAAAAATCCGATTTATTGTTTACTTGTCATGGAGCACAGTGATACGACTTTTCACAAATTCTATGTAAATAAATGAAGAACTCAAAACAGCTGGTTTCCCGACAACAACAGTACAAATTTTGTCTTGCTATGTCAGACGAGTTTTATGCATTAACCCAGCAGAACTTGCAACGAGGTCATCAAATGCCCGGAATAATATACTCTTAAACGATCGTTTTTTACAATACGGATAGCATTGTGTGAGATATATTAGCTCCTATAATTAAACAAGTAAAAAGTACCTTTACTAGCCGCTTTGAGATATGAAAACAATACGGATAATTCATTTTACTTCTCTCCGTTTATTATCAAAAACGAATCTTTTCACAAGCGAAGACATCTACAAGGGTATAATATAATATATAAACATAACAGTAGTGTTAGTGTTTTGGTAATCATCCAATTCATTCATGATTATGATATGGTTAAGAGGACACGACATGCTATGTTACTTTGTCAAAGCAGTTTTGAACATAGCTAAGTAATTTTGTTCTAAGAGGTTACATTGAAGAGCAGCATTCAATCGCCGCCACCCAGGATTTACTAGGCTAGGTAGAAAATTCATTTGTAATAAAAATTATATTTTTTTCAGACAGAAGGAGTAATTAGATTTCCTTAATGGAGTACAACCAAAGCAGATAAGACTGAGTTTTGCTAGTCATTGGTAGAAATGTATCGTTATGTAGAATGTCACTGAATGTGACAGCTGTACAAAAAAAATACGTCAATAAATATACATAAGTACGTTTAACTATAGGTATGTAAATCTAGTAAATGACTGAATATAAATATATACAAAGCAATCGTTTTGTCTCTCAACCAGTTTTCAAGACAATTTAACTGTTTTACCTGTCATTACATCGCTTACTCGCTCAGTCGATTGCCTAGCAAAACCGTTCAGCCAGTTTAACACCGAGCAATGGTTGCCTGCAACGCTTGGTGGTATATGCGAGGTTAATTAAAATTCCAAGTACAAAAAATAATTATTTATTTATGCGCAATAAGTTAATAATTAAAATGCTATCACAATTTATTTAGTGGATGAAAATTTCTATATAAAGAATGTAACCTAAAATCAAAATGCTTTTGTTGAGAGAATAATAGTAATGTTTTATAATTAAAAATGGAATAAATGTAAGAGAATACATATATTATCCTTCTTTTTTGTATAGTAGAATAAGTTCATTTAGAATACTGTAATGTTTGGAAAATAAAAGTTGATCTTTGTACCATGAGCCTTCTACAATTTACTACGTATGTATATAAGCAGAGTATGTATGTATATAACCAAAGTACAAAAGCATGAATATAATATGTGCTCATGATGTGACTAATTTCATTCATTTAAAGCGATAAATAATAAAAACCCATATTTTTGAGCTGATTCCACGAATTATAAAATACGAACATTAATTTATACGAGGTTTAGTTAAAAATAAAATTCTACGAATAGGACAGACAGCAAAATTACCGGACTTGGGTAAAACAAGAAAAAACGTTAACTTCGGTTGCGCCGAAGCTATAATACCCTTCACAAATACAAAGGCCCCTTACAAGAACTTGATTCCGAACGTTCAATTTGTATGGCAGCTATATGATACAGTGATCTGATCTGACCAATTTCTGTGGAGAATAATTTGTTGCCTTAAGCAATAACTCGTGCCTAATTTCGTGAAGATACCTCGTCAAATAAAAAAATTGTCCATGCAAGCACTTTACTCCGATCGTTCAGTTAATATGGCAGCTATATGCTATAGTCATCCGTTCCATACAATTTCTTCGGATATTAGATGAATGCTTTAAATAATACCACATGCCAAATTTCGTGAAGATACCTCGTCAAATGAAAGAGTTTTCCATACAAGCACTTCATTCCGATTGTTCAGTTTGTATGGCAGCTATATGCTACATACAAATTGTACATATGTACAATACATATATATTCAGCGATATACAATATTTATTGGTTTTTAAAAGAGGCGAATTGGATTTGTCAATTAGTTTCGTAAACAAATCACTACACTACACAATTGTATTAACCGAATTTATGTAAATATTATATACATATATATGTAAGTATATGGTATGAGCGTATGAATCTTAATGTTTGTAATACAATTCTTAGCAGGCGCTATAAAATCATCGATACATATGGTGTGTACATACATGTATGTATGTATGTATGTCTGCATTGTATGTACATATGTCTGTATTTACGGTACTTCCGTGACGATGAATGTCTTTCACGAAATTAGCGCATTCACATAAAATTTGACACCTTAATTTTTTCACACATACATACACATACAAGTGTCTTCACTTTCACCATTTTAGTTTATTATACATATGCCTGATAAATTCTGTTGCGGAGCACTTAAGTATTGTTCTAATGATGGACATTTCAATAAGTGGAAAACTCCAAAATAAAAATTACTTGGACATGGCTTTAGGAATGCAAAGATGGACAAAGCTTGGAATACAGTTTCTTATAAGATAGGATTTGATATGACGTCGAGACCTGGTAAAAATATTGAAGCCATTCCAATTAAAGCTTAAATTATCAGGAGCACATTCCACATCATACAAAATCCGTGGACTTCTTTGAGTGAATTCATTCCTTTCACATCTGCAGTGTAATAAATATTTCGAGGGAAACGAGAGAAATTTGTGTACATCAAAACATTCATACATACTTACATATGTAGCATATTTATACTAATCTAAGTGCATATAGGCTTAAAGAACTAAAAACGAGAATTGCGGACGCAAAATTAACTGTAACAATCCCAATTGCATAAATTAATAGAAAAGAAAAAACAAATGCCACTACTTATTGCACTATCATCTATAACTAATGACAGCAACATAAACAATTAAATAGAATTTAAATTATTATCAGGGTTCAGTAGTAAGTTGCAGCAAAAACGAAACAGTATGTTATGAACAGCGGTCTAAAAAAAATCGAGAGAATAACAGACCCTGGCTTTCAAATGTTGAATGTTGTAATGTGAAAGGTAATGCCATTGTCATCATGGTTACCAAACGAATGTCCAAACCGGTGAAGCACCGACGTGAACCGGCTCAATCCAATAATGTTACGTACTGATTTGTATGTAAGTATGCATTTTTTTGAAATCTAAAATAAATACACACAAAGCACAAATAACCAAGCCGACGGCATTAACAAAAATTAAAAATTCTTACGCCACAAAAACTAGTGCAATGTTGCCAGCCGGGTCTGATTCTGCAGTCGGTAACATTGTAACTACACTTTTACAAACAATGTACAAATACACATGCACATGTATACACCATATTTAAGCATATTGTGGGGGCGTTCCTTAGTCTGGTGACGTTGAATGCTAATCGTTTAACCAATTATTGCCCCAGAAAGCCATCATCAGCGTTGCTTTATTTTATTAAATCATAGAATTATATCAAATACATACATAAGTATGTAGTTTTTTGACAACCAATATTCATACGTATTCAGTATATGCCAAAATTAACAAAAAATACCTAACGGATTTCTTTAGTGTTGCCACCTGCAACTTATATTGAAATTACTCCAATTAATGGTTTAGCTAACTTTATGTGAAAATGCAGTTGTGAATGGCAAAAATTGCAAATTTTCGAAAGCCGGTACAGACAATTTGAAGTTAAAGTTTTCAGCAGCTTCATTTCTTATTTGCTTGTTTGAACAACAATTGTTTCCAATTAGGATTTGAGTGTTGAACTAGGTTTTATTATTGTTATTAAGAACTTGCGGCTAAAGGGTTAATGAATTTCGAAAAGGACCTACAAATATTTGCACGCAAGTGTTCTATAGTAAATATTGCGTTTAGCACATATTAAACAAAAATAATGAAGAAAAAACTAACTCGCAAAACTCCAAATTCAACGTCGATTGTTTATTAAAATAAATTGAATTGATGTCAAAACTTGTTATATATTTTCATACTACTGAATTTGCCAAACCTTTATGAGCATAGTAGAACTCAGTCATATGGTGCAGATAACTTTCAAAACAAAGACAAACGGTATGCGATTAGACTTACTATAAATCCAAAGCACTACACAAATTTGTATACTCTCGCAAATTGTTCACCTAACGGTTGTTTATATCACCTAAAACTAATCGAGTTAGATATAGGGTTATGTATATATAAATGATCAGGATCAGGAGACGAGTTGAAATCCGGGTGACTGTCTGTCCGACCGTCTGTGCAAGCTGTAAATTGAGTAAAAATATCTTTATGAAACTTGGTACACATGTTTCTTGGTATCGTAAGACGGTTGGTTCTGCAAATGGGCGTAATCGGATCACTGCCACACCAACAAAACGCCATTAATCAAAAACAAATAAATTGCCACAACTAAGCTTCACAACAAGATACAAGACTCTAATTTGGTATACAGGATCACATTAGGGAGGGGCATTAGCAGTTTAAATTTTTTTTAAAGTGGGCGTGGTCCCGCACTCAAATAAGTTTAATGTGCATTTCTCCTATTCCACTGAAGCTATAATAACAAGATTCACTGGGAACAAATATTTTTAGTATATCTATCGACGGTGTGAAAATGGGTGAAATCGTGTAACAACCCCGCCCACTCCCCATATAACGGTCCTGTTAAAAACTACTAAAAGCGCGATAAATCAAGCACTAAACAAGCCAGAGACATTAAATTTTATCTCTGCGATGGTATAAGATGATTTTATAGGAACCACGTTCAAAATGCACACCCTTTATGCAAAAAAAATTAAACTAACTATTTGAGAATAACTCCACCGAACAATGTTCAATCACTGACTTCACTTTTAGCAATTGTCTTCATAAATCCATCAGCCTTTGCAGATGGCTTGTAATTTCAAGAACAATCCACATGTTGGATCACATCTGGTCAGAATTCAAGCTAGAGGCCATCAACTATTTTCCGTGGCAAATAGTGCTTCTCCTAATTTTAATGTTTAAAACAACACACTCATACATTAATACACATACATGCACGTTTGTATGTATATAAATCTATATGTGAGCCAATGTATGCCCATCTATTGCAGCAAGCGAAAAAAATTTCATTATATTGCTCAGTTAGACACATACATATATACAATATATAATATAATTGTATATGAAAGTTAAATGAACTTATAAATAACAAATAAATTAGAATGTCAACGCAACTATATTTAAACAATTTACTTCCACCAGCCTTGAAGCAAAAATAAACATAACCAATTTGTTGAATTCTTATGAAACGTTTGGGGTGCTTGCACTCACATATCAATTAATTAGGCAATAATTAAAACAATTGAAGAGTAAAGTACGAGCATACAAAGCCGTTCAAAAGCTCAGTGCTTACACACATATTTACTAGATAGATGTGCATGTACATACATATCTGTTTTCATTAAAAGTTCCGTTCAACAGTCGCATCGTCAATAATTCTCATTGATTAATTTCTCATGTCTAATTATTTATAGTAATATTTAATTTAATTCTCATCTAGATGCTTGGCAGAGCTTCTCCTCCCTTTTGTGGTGTGCCACTTGACTTTTATGCGACAAATGGATGAATATAGTGCCCTGCGAACAGGGCATATGAGAAGCTTATCCCTGGGTTCAAACATAACGAAACGCTCCTGAGAGAAGCTCGTCACTTAAAAATTTTAACAGGGATTGACTAGGTTAAATAGACTAACTTATATGAATTCTCATATGAATAGAGAGAATGTCAATCAAAATTGATTATTTCACTTTTATATAGTTTTAAAACCTTTCAAATATAATTACAAAACACTTTATAAATTATTACACCGCAAAAGCCTGTCAATTTATTAGCATAGTAATATTTGTTGTTTATAATTTTCAACAGATTTCCTATTTTAATATTCAGATATCAATTCACGAGTACAGATGTAATACAATGTAAATTTAATAACTAGTATTCAATACCACACCTATCTTAACAAATTAAAACTGAGGCTCATAGTTGTCACTCGCTTCGTGCAATCTTTGAATATACTTATAGTAAATGCACACTGCACGTCCCAAACTATTGGAAAAACAAATTTATGTAATGGAAAAGATTTGATTACACTATGGAACAAATTGAGAGATTTTTTCAAACGATAATATTTGCTTTAATAATTTCTTTACAATACTTGGCTTTATTGGTGTAAAGTAAATTAATTTGAAAATGATTTAACTTTAAAGAACAAATAAATTTTGGGCGCACTTGACAACTGATTTCATATCAATTCGTACACAAGTTTCCACGGAAAACAGTAATAAAATAAATTTATAATTGATTGACAAAGTGGGTGAATTAGGCTGTATCGCACAGAACTTTCCTGTGAATATTCTTCTTATATAAAGAAAGTGTGAAAAAAATTTATTTTAATATAATATTTTTATTATTCAATGCTTGTTGTGTTTAATTCTTAGAAATCTCGAACACGTGACCAATTATTTTATATACTTCGCTGTATCCAAGTAATTTGTTGTAGTTAGACACGTTTGTGCACAATATTCATTTCTAAAAATAATTTTATTTTATTTCTCCAACGCCAGCCCATTTAATTTTTTTAGCACCAAGAAAAATGTTTCTACATTTTTTATTTACGTCAAACAAGTTATCAAGTCATTTATCAAACTTGTCGCCGACTATCTAGATTTCACGTTTTCTATTCGTTTAAAATATTCACAAAAGCTTGTTTTTATAATTTTATCAAGCCGGCGTAATGTTGTTGCTCGCAAACACGTTCATTCAAAATTCACGTGATACTCTCTTTATTTGATTCCGTTTAGTATGCATAGGAATATTCCGAATTTTTATTTGTTTGTATAATACAACAATTAATTTTTGAACGTTGACTTGAGTATTTAAATTTAGTTGTTTAAAAAATATTTAGGTTATATTAATTAGGCATTTTTAGGGCATAATCTATTTAAATTAGTTTAAATTTTTCGGCTCAAATTGGATTTCTGCTGCGAAAGACATTTTCTTAAAAGTCTATAGGTTTTCGAAAGAAAAAATTTTATAACAGCATTTGGCGAAACTTCTGTGAAGCGAAAGTCCAATTGGCTTAAACCACTACAAATATATCTAATACGTAAGCAGAATAGTATACATATATAGCGGACTATTGTTATAGAAATTGAAGACTAGAAATTTTTAACGTGAATTTAATCAAAGTCCAATCAAGTCAAATTATTTTCATTATTTAAAATTAATACTTGTATGTACTTTGAAATTTAACATATGTACATACAACTTTTTGAGGTAGATTTTCTGTTCTGACAAGTTTATAGTAAATATTGGACGCATAGCACATACATACATACCATATACGTATATGTAAGTACATAAATACATATTTATTAGAAATGTATTTTATGCTACGCACGTTTTAAAAAGTAAGCAAAAACGTGACAAATTTTTCGTAATAACAGTATAATGATACATTTATATGTACATACATAAGTGCACAAGTCTATGTTAAGTGGATATATACGACAACATTTAATGTCAAAATACAAACTAAAAAGCAGTATATTTAGGGGACAAATAACTGGTAAATAATCAAACCGACGTAAACTTAAGCATACACATACAAATGGTGTGTCATAAATGGATAATTAAAACATTTATCTACGTCTCTGACTTAAATCGTGTTGAGCAGCACAGTGAAGAGGTATGTAACATAAGCAGCTGATTTACTTTTTCCAATTTATGCCGCTCAAACCGTTTTTTTTCTGTCCCTAAATAAAATACCGTTTCAAAATAGAAAATAAACGGATTACACTCGTATAGTCTTATTTACAAATATAATATAATAGCTGCTTCGTAGTCCTCGATGTTGATTTGAAGCCAAGTTCAATGGGCTACTTTTTCTGTCCGCAAAGGCTTCCTATCAAATTTTCAGACATCCAGACTTTAATTTATCTTTGTAATGCTTTTACATTAGGAAAGAACAGATGAATGAGATTCAGATGAAATTGTACAATAAGTTAACATTATGAATTATGTTTATAATGGCAAGCTTTGAAGATTTTTATTCGATGATGTATCAGAAATATATACATAAGTATATAAAGTCACACCACGATAAACATATATAAAAAAAGATATACATACGTCATATTTTCTTCTTAGAATTAATAGTAATTAGATCCATACATATCCTTTTTTACTGAATCCTAGAAAAATGTATTGGTTTTTAAAGGAAACTAATTATATAGATCTTAGCTTTTAGAAGCTCAATACATTAATAACTTTTTTTATTGATCTCAATAAAAATACTACCGATTCTTAACTTAGACTAGATTTTAGAGCAAAACACTTACGAACTACGAATGTTATTTACCTTTTCAAAATTCACTACAAAAATCTCTTAAACTCAACAGAAATTAAATAATATTGTATGCACATACTTATGTACATATATAAGAAGTTGCTATTTATTCACACAGAAAATAAAAATGCCATATAATCGGCTATATATAAGGCGAATAAGCTCTAGTTTGAAATCAGCGACACGATGGTAAAAAAATCAGTAATTCAGACATATTCATATATACTGATCTATGTACATATGTATGTATTTCCTCTATAAATGACGGGCACTTCACAGCATATCATCAATTGTGTATTTGTATGTATACAATCATATAAAACATATACCTACATATATATGTATGTACATAAATGTCCGTGAATCGAAAACGACATATGGTAGAGTGTTATTTGGTGCCATTGACGACAGGCTCGATAAGTACTTCAGACACACTGACACCATGATTGCTATGATACTGAAAGCCTCAGAAAATCAACTATTGTTTGTATAGATGTGTATTTATTTTCAATATTTTTTTATATATAACCCATTGTCATAGCAACAAGTAAACTATTCTTAATTATGGAGTTCATTGTTGCGCAAGAAACATTGAGAGAAGCAAATCTATAAAATCGCAGAAACTCGAACCTGGAACCTGCTCAATTCTAAAACTACAAATATAAGAGATCCACCGAATACATGCAGGCTTCTATGTGAAAAGATATATATACATACATATATACATATTACATAGTACATATGTATATACGAGTACATATACTTTTAAGCTTTTGTGTCACAAAATCATTGCAAATGGATCGCTATGGAAAATTTAATACATTAAAAGTGATAAATAAACATTGAAACAAATAATTGAGGAAAGAAACAAACTAATCACACAAACAAAGAAAAACGTAGTTCATTAACTTTTATTGCAATAAACAATAGAAAATTTTAGAATGTGCAAAAAATAAGTAAAAGGAAAATATTCCATTATTGATTGGAATCGCTAGAAATATAATATGATAACTAATGACTTCCAGGCAAACGTTAAGTAATGACATAAGCAAAAAGAAAAATAAATCAAATAATTTAAATACGTAACAGTACACAAGAGATATTCCAATTGGGAGTGTAAACATAATTTTCTAAACTAAAGTAATACGATCGATATGTCGATTGAGGAAATTAAAGATGTTCTGAGGAGTGCAAGCAATATGGTTTCGGGTTTAGCTTTTGAAAACATATTCCCAATCGAAAATGCGCTTGGGGATTAAGACTTGAAGCTAAGCTTGAATAACGTTACTTTGAGAAATTAGATTTAATCCGGATTGCTATTCAAATACACAAGCAAACTGCTTATAGTTACACACTCACCTCGATTTAAAATATATATAAAATTTTACTGCATTTTCTCACAGTGTACCCCTATTGACGTTTGCAAAAGCGCATCTGCTATAGGCTGGTGCAATTCAGTTCGAACAGGATATGCAGATAAGAAATAGTGACTCTTACATGCTCATAGCACATTACTAACAACCCAATACAATATTTAACAAAATGAACATTTACCACATGTTCTGCTCGACACAGACTGAGAGTACAAGCAGCAGCACACGGTTCACTCATGAAAAACGTGAACACAACGTGAGCATGACAAAGCCGAGTATAACAACAACCATTATTATGCTTCAACTAGTGAACGGACGTAAAACCGTATACCGTACAAGTATAAGTAGATATTAAAAAATAACTTGAATATATTTGAAATATTCTTAAATTTCTTACAGTCGAATACAATTATTTATAAATAGATAGACTATTTTTAATAATTGGATTTTAGTTTATAAAAAATTATAACTGATGAGCTAGATGTGTGCGAAACCATCTATACATAGCTCAATGTGATCAAAAAAGAACAACTGATTTCTGCGTTGTCACTACGGAAGGGTGGCACGTCGGTCACCAACTGAAGAATTAGTACACAACGATAAGGGTGCCTGCAGAGTGGACACTGAAAGCCGAACCGAACGGGATAAGCTCGGCGAATTTCACTATTTGTATAAAGAAATTTTTTTTAATATAAACATATATGTCATATATGCGCCGTTTCAGCGCGAATCACGCTCGGTTCGGCTTTCAGCGTCCACTCTGCAGGCACCCTAAGTGATAAAAGCAGAGTTTGCTTAAAACTAAAGCTACTATGTATAAGAAATATGTACATTTTTACATATGTAGATATAGTATGTGTCTGGTTTGGTAGCTTATGTAGAACCTTAATGTTTGAAGATTTAGACAATTATGTTTTAATCTTATACGTAGTAAAATCTTGCGTAACTGTAGGATGGATAAGAATTTCTTTGAAATAAATATTGTAAACGATAAGAAGCTTGTCTGGACTTAGCCTACTTTTCCATACGATTTACAATTTGTTCAAGCAAATGTAACACTTTGAAAAAACAAAATCTATCACAACGAAGAATATTTAGAATGGTTGTGTCTGGTTTCTTCAGAAGAATAATACAGTTTTGTATGTGGCGAAAGGCATAAACGTTAACTATTACTAGTGCTTATCTCACTAGCGCTAAAGCAGAACCAGTGTATTTTCTGCAGCAACTGCTCACCAAATTTTTATTAGAGGATTTATTTGCTCCGGTAACAATAAGTATCATAACTTTTATGGGGTGTGTACTTTTTTTTACGATATTCTATATGCATATCGAAAAATATACATATTTTATTTTCTTCTTTTTCAAGTTTGTATACGAGTATAGACTAAAGTTTCT